TCATTACTTTTAAAAGTTGAAACTTTCAAATCACATTGTAGAACTGTCAATCTGAAAACCTATGTTTTTTAAAAAGACTCATGAAAGGTTTTAATTTAAAAGATGGGCATTTTTATCACAATGATGTATGTTTTCATCGCAAATATGAATTCTTTTTAAATCAATTGCTATATTCTTTAAAAAAGTGATCCAAAGAAATATTTAATTGCATTTATTTTAATTTATTTCGATGTACATCGATTTTGCGAACAAAATTACATCCATTGATGTAATATTGTATCTGCTTTTTGCTTTTACATCATTATTTCATTCATCAGCTTGAATTACGTTGATCGATATTACATTTTTTTTTTTTGCTGTGTAGAGTACGCTTGTTTTGTCAGTTTCGTTTGCTTTGTTTTTTTCAATGCAAATCAAAAATGCTACAAAAAAATAGCAAAATATGTTTTATTTTCTTGGTGCTAGGTACCTGTCAACAAAGAAATAAATAAGGATATTTATTTCTAAATTGTTCTGATCCTTGCGTCGTACAAAACCGGTCGAGTTCGAGTCCAGTTTACTGCCGGACATGGTACCGAGTTAATCAAGTTCAGCCGCATCGCACTTAGGGACCACCTTCATCGAATCACTAGCCAGCACTAATTAGCCCGGTGCAGTACAGCTTCTAGAACATAGGCTTGTTGAACAAGAAATGACCAACAGCCACGCGTCTTATCGATTCCTTCGCCAGTGAAGTCAGCCGGTAAGCTGTTGCTTAGGAAATCCGCAGCATTCTCAAACGGATAGTGATTATGTGTGAAGGGCATCGAACCCGACTCGAACCCGCAATCAGGAAAGTCGACGGGTTTTCAAATTGGTCGATCTCCCTATGGAGAACGCTCATTAACACACATGAGTACTTATCCAGCTCTTCAATACTTCAGATACATGCAACTGGCTGGCCAGCGGAAGAAATCCACGGTGATGTCAGCGTTCCTCAGCTCAGTATCTGATTAAGAACCTCGCTACACACAAAGAATTATCATTAATAAAATAAAAAAAAAAAACCATTGGTATAGATATAACCATATAGATAGATATAAAAGTTTGCATTGGTTCTTTTTGGTAGAAAGTCATTAGCATTCAAAACAAAAGAGAGCTAACTGTCAATTCAAAAGTTATCCGCTCCCTACTTTTAAAAGCTGAAACTTTCAAAATGAGTTGTACAACTGTCAAACGAAAAGCGTGACAATCTGAAATTAAAGCGGTCTATTTTTATTTAAAAGAAAAACATTTTTGACAAGAAAGTTCGGTAAATTTGATTACATATGAGCTGCTTTTAATGAAATAATCAATCTTTTCAACATTAAAACACAATTTTTCATTTTAAGTACTAATAATTATTAAATCAAAATCAATGTTTCATTAATTGTTATAAAAAAAGTTGACGAATATCCATAAATGTATGTTTATATGCCGTTACCTACGGGGCATTGTCGAGCAGCAGCAGCTGATTCTACCTTTCCAACGTTCCACCGCTTCCCATCACCGGAACTCTTTGTAACTACTGTCGAAATCAACCGGTATGGCAGAGAGATAACTGTAAATTGCGGCCCGAACCGAACCACCACACGGATAGAAATCTCCTTATACCTTTTGGCAAATTTCCATTGCTGATTATTCATAAAATGTATAAGTCAACTAATAAGTAGACGCCTTGCAAAAAGTTAATAAAGATCATGTGTCAAATGAAATGTATAAGCTGTCACACATACCTTTTATGCATTCTAATAGGACCTATGTGGTTTGTCTTATGGAATGTATAAGGCTGATGCTTTGGCAAAAATGTATAAGTGAAACACATGAATTAAATAATTGATTTTCGTTTCGTGGTTACGCTGAATAAAATGATGTCAAAGTGGATGCTGCTCTGAAAAATTAATATTTTAGTGAACTTCATATGGTACAAGTTATTCAAAATACTCACTGTTTCAGAGAAATAGTTTAGATCGAGGTTCAGATGTACGCTAGGATGTAGGTCTTGTTCAACGGCTTTGAAATTTTTTCAATCTTCGCAATCTTGGCAGGAGTAATATTATGATAACCATCCGGACTAAAGCTCAAGTTTCGTTGGCTGAATCTGAAATAAATTCACACATTGACTAATTAGAAAAACACGAACACGCAGCTCTCCCACTCCATCTCAACTCACCAAGAATAGATTCCGCTTTCTGATTCCAGATGAAAATGCCACTCATCATCGTCAGCAACTTCCCACTTGGCGACTATCAATATTGTTCCGCATACCGCGCGCTCTGTGCCATGTACAAAATCTGTATGTCGTTTCCACCCTAGTCGACCAACGGAAACGGTTTTTCCCTTAATATTTATTGCTAATATTTCCTGCAAACCAAACCAAAACTTTCAAAAAGTAACTAACTTTTAACTACACAGAAATTCAAAACAACCCAAAATTAAGTTCTTTTCACTCATCTCCCATGTTCCGTACGATAAGCCAAATTTGGGTAAACCGGCTCAAAGTAGTTTGCATTTAAGGACGGCAAAAAAAATTACCCATCGCTAAGTTATTTTCAATTTTTTCTACCCAAAATTAAGTTCAATTAACTCAAATTTGGGTATATCGCATATTACTCAATTTTGGCTTCTCGTACGGAACTAGACGGTTGAGTCGAATCTTTCGTTCTATTTTTGACAACAATAGCGAGAGGAAATGAAACGGGCAGAGGTCAAATAACTCAAATTTGAGTTTAAAAAACCCAAGCGGTGGGTAGTTTTGTTTTTCTGTGTAGAGATTTGCAACGATGTTTCGAGCGCGTAAATTGACATGCAGGCCAATGAGTATATAGAGAAGTGAAACAGATTGTGAAATATTGTTGTTTAGCAAACTAAAAATCAGGCATAACATTTGATAACGGCACAAAAGCATTTGTAAACAAACTTTCTAAGGCTCTTTACACGCGAACCAAAGTACGCCCACGCAAACCAATACCACTTTCGGAAAGGTGATAGTTGCCCCTATCCGATGATGTTGTTGGTTTGCATGGACGTACTTTGGTTCGCGTGTAAAGGGCCTTAGAATGTTTGTTTATAAATGCTTTTGTGCCGTTATCAAATGTTATGCCTGAAATAACGTAAACGCAATTATTGACGTCACTATTTGCTTGTATCATATAGTGGTTTTACTCACACAACTTAACAGATTGCTTCACCCGGGTAATCCATCTCATTGGTGGCAGGCGACAAATGAGGGCTCAGTAATAGGTGTATTTTTGACAGTTGAACAAGTTTTCTTTTAAAAAAATCACTTTTAAAATTACATGTTGCAAGTGAAAGAAATACTTTCATATCAAAAGCATAACTTTCATTTTGAATAGTTACGTAGTTGAAACTACGAATTTTGGGAAACTTTTAATAAGAAAATGCATTATTTTCATAGCAACAATTTATGTTCTTTGTGTGTAAGAAAAAAAACTGGATTATAATCTTAAAAACGAACAGAACAACTGCGAGCGTCATCCTTTCAACGTTGCAATTTAATATACATTGAACGAATTCCTCGCCATTATTCGAACTTATTATAATTATGGGATTAAATTTTAAGCCGATCAATGCATAAACATTGCTTAACCATAACATGTTTAAATTTTAATCTTTCCTCGTTTAGTTATATTTTTGAGTGTAATATAACAGTTTTACCTAAATTTAGGTTGTTTAAACTCAAGCTTTGGGTAAGTCTCATTTTCTGTGTATAGGTTTGTAGCTCATCACTGAAAGAAAACATCCGCAATATTGTAGTGATTATTGTAGTGCTCGAGCCCTTTAACAATATTCTGTCGAATTTCGGATGGTTTCCTTAATGGTTGAATTCGTCATCAACTCAGTGCCAACATTTCAAAGGGGCGTAATTGCTTTTGTAAACAATGACTTTAGCCGTCAATTTCTGGCGAATGAAATCTTACCTCTCCAAAATTACAATGCTAGCTGGTAGAGGAAACATTCCTCTACCCGCTGGTGTCATTATTTTTCATGAGTGAGCTTTTATTCGCGAGAAATCGACGGCTAAAGCCATTGTTTACAAACGCAATTACGCCCCTTTGAAATGTTGGCACTGAACTGATGAGTATCCATATGACTGTTCTCCAAGTAGAGGATGATTTTTATTTGAAAATTGGCTGTAAAACATAATGGGCTCAGAGGACAACAATTTAAGGATAGAATAGCTTCAGATTAGATTATTAATTTGATTGTTTACATTTCCACATTGAATAGCCATGAACAGCCATTCATCATGGGAACAAAAATGTAGTGCTGGTAGAGGAAACTTCATCCACCACGAAATAGACAATTTACGGTTTTCACGCTTTACCAATGTTCATAACGAGGTTCATAACACCTCTGATAGCGATGGTTATGCTTCCACCTCGTTTGTCTACTCAGAGCAGCAAATGACGTTCGACAGAATTATTTACATCATCGTTTTAAATTATTTGCGTTAAAGGGCTGAACCAATACCAAATGCATTTCAATTTAAGATGACTATCATTCTGCAGAGAGCTTTACGTATTCCAACTTAAGGCCCTATTCTTTTTCATAACAATGTTCATCCTGTATTCGAGAGGAAAATCATCTGATTTCAAAACAACCGTCATCCGCGTTTGCAGCCTCGGTTGCAGCTATAGCAGATATCATTCGAAAAGGCGATTTCGATGTTTCGATTTGAATGGTCTGAGGTTTCATTCGAACAAAGGATGGTGGTTTGGTACAGTGTAGATATAAACGTCTATTATTATTGGCGTTGACGAGAGCTCTGTAACTCTTTACTCCTATGGAGAAATTTCATATGTAACTGTCAGTCTATGTGTGAAACATGGCGGACTTTTTCTTATTCTCTCACTCCAACGCAAAACCCCATAAGGAACTGTCAAAATGTGTGTGAAGAAACGTCACTTCGGGACTGGTGTCAAGGCGAATTAGCATTTTTTCACTTTGCTACACGTGTGACGTGCGAACTGTTGTTGCTGCTGGTGCGCTCGGTGCAATGAAACCCAGATGATAATCCAGAGGTTATTGGTCTGTGATTCTGTTCCTGCCGGTGTTTCAAAACATTTAATCTTAGTGGACTGAATGTTTACGCTTTTTTCGGAACATCGTATCAAATCTCCTTCATCAAAACTTTAAACAGGTAAATATTTACTGTAAAAACGGGGCTCCATTCAACTCACTGAACCTATTAGATTATATTGTACCCATTGGCGCTAAACCGGGAAACTACTCCAACGGTATCTCTCGTTGACGTGAGTGGGGAAAAAACCTAAAAATCTACACTTTTTCCCGTAAAACCGCAAACAAAAACAGCAGTCCTGTCAACGCCATTAAGGATGAATATCAGAATTCCCGGACAGAATCACTACTAACGCTTTTGTAATTTATTGTTTTACTAGCTGCGTGTGTCCGGCCTTGCTCGGGATTCTATATTAGCTTGAGTTTATGCGCCGATTCAAAAAAGCATGCTTTATTTTTCTGTTTCATTTGTATGGGAGCCCCCCCTTACAGAGGGGGAGGGGTCTCGAACCATCATAAGAACCTTTTCCTTCCCCAAAACCCCTGCATACACATTTTCTCGCCGATCGGTTCAGTAGTTTCCGAGTCTATAAGGATCAGGATAGATAAGGATAAGGACAGAAATTCATTTATATATAGGGGAAATATCGGCCTAATTGTCCCTAATTTGGGCCCATACATAAATTCAGCAATCGACTAAATTTTCAATAGCAACCGAAAATATCCATTAGTACCGTCCCAATGATGCGTTCATATAGATACAATTGACAAATAGCAGATTTTTAGCAATGGGCCCTATCTTAGATCCATAGGCCAACATTGTCCCTTATATATATATTGTCCCTTATATATATATTACGATAGCCTGTTAGTTTAACCGGTTTATGCTGTTTATCAGGTCAAGGAGACTTCCGCAATTATTTCGGGGTTTTACCAGACTTTAAGAACGCTCATTCCTCGCATCTTTGAATGTTTTGCATCCCTTACTTGCTTCACAGGGGAGAGATATAATTTTTGTAAAGTAAATTGCATTTTTAAACAAGCTCTCATTAGGGTTAGAGTTAATCATCCCATCCTCAAATCTATTCCAGGGTACGTAGGATGGCAGCCTGTGTGGAAATAATAGATGACATAGAAGACCTTATCCAGTCACAGGACATCACACCGAAGGAGAGATATGCCAATAAATCGAATGTAACTGTCCGGGCTAAACGTGTTAAGAAAGCCATCGAAGCGAAGGCAAATAATGTATCAGTACCAGAAAAAAATGTGTTGGAAAGCGTTATTCCAGGAACTCAAACGATTTATCTAAAAACATGGGGATGTGCGCACAATAACTCCGACAGCGAATACATGGCTGGCCAGCTGGCTTCATATGGATACAATATTACTTCCGATAAATCGGATGCAGCTTTATGGTTGCTCAATAGTTGCACGGTGAAGAACCCATCTGAGGACACCTTCCGCAATGAAATTCAAGCGGCCAATAAAATGGGCAAACACGTCGTTTTGGCTGGATGTGTTCCTCAGGCTGCACCAAAGTCAGAATACATGCAAGGTTTGAGCATTGTCGGCGTTCATCAGATCGATCGTGTGACAGAGGTTGTAGAGGAAACCCTTAAGGGTCATTCTGTGCGATTGCTGCAGGCTAAAAAACTCAATGGCAAAAGAGTTGCTGGTCCGCAGTTGGCTTTGCCGAAGATCAGAAAAAATCCACTGATAGAGATAATTCCAATCAATTCCGGTTGTTTGAATGCTTGTACCTACTGCAAAACAAAATTCGCTAGAGCTGACCTGGTCAGTTATCCGGTTGAGGAGATCCTGGAAAGAGCTTCTAACGTATTCACCGAAGGGGTTTGTGAAATTTGGTTAACTTCAGAAGACACTGGTAAGAGTAATTGGGCCATAGAATTTGAAGATTATTTACTGAAATATATTTGATTGTTTCAGGAACCTATGGCCGGGACATTGGTACATCGCTGCCGGAATTACTTTGGAAGCTAGTTGCAGTGATTCCTGACGGCAGTATGCTACGTTTGGGTATGACGAATCCTCCATACATACTTGAACATTTGGAAGAAATGGCCAAAATATTAGCACATCCAAAAGTTTACAGCTTTCTTCATGTTCCTGTTCAAAGCGGTTCGGATTCTGTGCTGGCTGAAATGAAACGTGAATATTGTAGGTCCGATTTTGAAAAAATCGTCGACTATTTAAAGGAAAATGTGCCAGGTATAACTATTGCTACCGATATAATCTGTGGATTCCCAACCGAAACGGAAGAGGACTTCGAACATACTATGACACTGTGTGGGAAGTACAAATTTCCTAGTTTATTCATCAATCAATTCTACCCAAGACCGGGAACGCCTGCAGCGAATATGCAACGAATACCTGCAGATTTGGTGAAAGGTCGCACCAAGCGTTTGACAGACCTTTTCTACAGTTACGAGCCGTACGTAGGGAAATACGCAGTGGGTGTTCACCAAAAAGTGCTCATCACCGAAATATCTCACGACAAGAAGCATTACGTTGGACATAACAAGTGCTATGAGCAAGTTCTCTTACCCATGGATAAAAATTTGCTGGGAAAGCTTGTGGAGGTAGGAATGCGAGTAGTTTAAGTTTTTTTTTTTATTATACAAAATCATCATTTATCTCTTTTAATTATAATTTCAGGTTGAAATAGTTAACATAACCAAATTCAGCATGATCGCAAAGGTCATTCAGGAGGAGAAGGATTGGGTTAGTTGTACAACCTTTGCGAACAATAAGCAAACACTAAAAGTGGATGGAAGCTGTATCAAGATCGTTTCAAAGGATGAACAAGCACACTCATTGAATTTCTATATTCTTTGTGCAATCGTGTCTTGTGGTATTGCTTTGATTTGTCGTTATTTTATGTTTTCGATGTAATCAATATACAGTTGATTTAATAAATATCAACAAAACTTTTCTGTATTTCGTTCATTATATTTCCATAAATCCAGCGGTGTTGGACAAGTGGACGTTATCCTTTTTCGTGTTGGCAGGAACGGTGTAGTTGGAACCAATCAAGCAGTTGCGCAGTATCGTACCGGATTTAACAATGGACTTTTCGCAAATGATGCAGTTTTCCAGCGTAACGCTGTTAAAAGAAAAAAAAATGATTAAAATATGTTGAAGATGGCACCTACGCTAGTACCTACCTTTCTTCGACAGTCACTTGATCCATAAGAATACAGTTAGTTATGCGAACTTTTGGGTTTATAACGCAATTCGCTCCTATAACTGAACATGTAATCGAAGTCTTCTCCGAAACAACAGCCTGATCGCCGACTGTAGTTGACGATATTTGCGTTGATTTCACGATACTGCTCGAAGTCGTCAAAGTAGTCACAGGAAGATCTGTCAGATTCTGGAAAACTGTGTATATCTTAAAATAGAGAACAAAAATTATGTTACATGCCAGCATTATACACCAAATTTTGAAATCAAGTTCCTGCTAAACAAAATTGCTGGGTGATGTGATGAAATCATGTTTTACTGGAAAATCAGTAATCTGAAATATTTTGCTGGATGTAAATTGTCCAGTAAATTGTATCAAATCAAGCATAACTTTTCAAAAGGACGTATGTAACATTGGATATGAAATTAGAAACATTGGATAGCAATGTCTATATGAGATTATTAAATGCTATTTAAAAGTTAATGCTATTTTTTTAAATCTGTTTGTGCTATTAGTTGGATAAAGGGATTGCGTTTAAGAGAATTGTGAAAAATTTCGAGTTTTGCAAACACGGACAATACTTTTGATAAAACAAAATCATACACCTTTTACTTGTGTACTACTCACACACACCCTGATTGATTCGTCGGTATCACACCTTGATTGTTACATACACCCTGCATGATTCGTCTATTTGACAGAAGGGTTTTCACATACGTCAAATCAGATACACCAGTTTTTGTTTTACAGTGAAGATACGTCGGCAGCTCGAAAAGCATTGAGAAATTGTCGGTTGGTTGATTAATTTACATAACTACTCAGAGTTGCGTAATAATCGATGTTAAAAGCGGAGATGAGAAGGTCACTGCATTATCTGCTGTCAGATGTTAAACGTTTTGTGTTTTTCGTATTCAGAAAGCGCTGGTAAGATTGGTATGTGAAGTTCAATATTAAAGTCAAGATTAAAGTGCAGTTTCATTAGAATACTTTTGAAATAATAAACATCTTGCTCCCGGAAATACAAAAACAAACATACAAACTTGACGCATTTGCAGATTGATAGTGGTTGCTTTGTTTTTTCACATACGACGCTTCACTGTGAGCGTATCTGCAGTTTTTGTGTTATCATCAAATTTTAACAGTTGAGTCATGTTGACAATAAAAGGGTGTATCAACACCATTTTAAAAACAATGAAAGAACGTCACATAGGGCGTTTATTAAATATATTTTCCATAATGTATTACAATTTCAAACCTTGTAGGAAAAGCATGTATTTTGTATTCGGTTAGATGCACAATATCGATTTGTTTATTTTTGCGACTTACGTCCTTTTGAAAAGTTATGCTTGAAATGTCAATTTCAAACCCGATCAGCGGTTGTGGGCAGTCTTGATAGCTAGCTGCTTGCGGGGAGCCTTTCGTTGTGTACTGTAGAACACCACCACGCGGTGATTGAATAAACACCGTTTGGTGAAACCGGATGGAATTCAACTTTTAAATCTGGGTAGAAATATTTCTGATCGATTGGTGATAAAATTATTGATATTGGTCTAGGGGTAGCTGAGTTATTAACATTCAAAATCTTTCATAATTTTGTTACATGTTCCATTTTCGGTTTTCACAAAGTGTACCCTCATATCACTAGCATGCACAGGAATCTTGTTAAGGAGGGGCAATTTTTTTCTATGGTGCATTTAATCTGGGGATGGAGAGTACTCCAAAGTGCGTGGTGGATGGTGCTGTTCACCCACCACTGTTTCCCTACTGTTCAATTTAGCTTATTTAATTTAGTAAAACAACAATAGACCAAGGTTCAATGGAAAACTAATACCCACTTTTCAGTAAGGGAATCCAAAAGCTGTCTTTAAACTTTATACAGTTGCGAAAAAGTCCATCCCCAGAACTCTATGAGCTCTATTGAAATTCTTCTCAGAAGTCCTCTGGAATTATTTTTAGAACTCTTGTTGACTTTTACTCAGAACACCATGGAACTGAAATTCCCTTAGAGTTTCAGAAGAATTTCCTCAGTATTATCCAGAAATTATTCCTGGAATGAGCTAGAAATTATCGGTACTCCCTAGAAATTTCTAGAAATTATTTTTCGTTATTCTTTTCGAAATTCTCTTGGAACTATCTGCAGGATGCACTAGAAATTATACGTTGAATTTTTTTTATTCTCCCCAGAAATATTTTGGAACTGTCCTAAGAATTCAATATCCTTGATGTTCTTTTTGGAATATTTTAGAACTTTTTTTTCTCAGAACACATTGGAACTGAAATTCCCCTAAAGTTTCAGAATAATTTGCTCTGTATTCTCCAGAAGTTCTTCCCGGAATGAGCTTAAAATTATCCTTTTAATTCTTTTGAAATTTTCCTCAACATCCCTTTGAAATTTTATTCAAAATTTGATTCTCTCGGTATTCTTTTCGAAAATATGTTTGGACTATCTGCAGGATTCACTAAAAATTATTCGCAGAATTTTCATGGAATTATACCCAGACATCTTTTCTTTTGGAACAGTCCTCAGAATTCAATACCCTCAATAGAACCTCAACTCGGAAGCCAAGTTTAGTTGTCCGCCCATTCACCAGAACGTTGCAGTTTTTCTACCAGAAATGTTCAATAAAGCTTGCCCCTGCATTCACCAGAAATGTGCAATTTTTACATCAGGAATTTTCAATACAAACTTGCCCCCAGGTAATTTTAGACCAAAAAATTTCAATTGACCAAAATGGTGTAAATTTACCACCGTTAATGTTCAATAAAGATTGCTTATCCAATCTTCTGATTCGTGCAGATTTCCTTTTTCCATTTTCTACCAGACATTTTCAATAAAGCTGGTTTATGATCAGAATGTTGCAAGTTTTCTACCAAATAAAACTTGCCCCTATTTTTTTCGGATTTTTCATCATAAATTTTCAGTAAAGCAGCTTCCCTCCAATCATCAGAATGTTGAAATTACACCAGAAATTATTATTAAAATTTATTTCTATATTCAGCAGAAGGATGCTAATTTAAGAACAAAAGTTTTCCAGCAAGTTTTCCAGCAAGTTTTCCACCATAAATTTTCTGTTCATTTCATATATCTGAGCGATGCAAATTTTTCACCAGAAATTTTCAATAAAGCATGGTCCTCCATTCACCAGAACGGTGCACCAAAAATTGTCAGTGAAGTTTGTTTCACCATGAACCTTTGTGGTGCAATTTTCAGGCGTTGTCGCTTCATGCACCAGAATGGTGCAAATTTTCCATCATAAATTTTCAATGAAGCTTGCATTCATCAGAACGATGCAAATTATGCACCAGAAAAAATGAATAAATCTTGCTTCTACATTCACCACAGTGTTGCGAACTTTCCACCAGAAATTTTCAGTTAAATGTGCACCTCCACATTTTTAGCGTAATTCAATTTTTCCACCAGAGTTATTCATTTTGATTAGTCCCTCCATGCACCACCTTGATGATATTTTACCACTAATGTTGAATAAAAAAGCTTTTTCTTCGATTTACCACCACGAAGGTAATTTTTTTCAACCTTAAATTTACCCTTAAAAAAATAACACCAGAAATTTTTTCTATGCACAATGTGGTGCAATTTTTTGACCAAAAAATTCCATTGAAGTTTGTCCCTTCATGCACCTTTGTGGTGCAATTTTCAAGCACCATCTCAAAGGAATTGACGCAATAAAAGGTTTTCAGTGCCCTCATATTATGAAATTAAGTTATTTTACCTTCCAATCAAGTTATCAAGAAATCAAGTTATTTTATATTCTAATTTTTTAAATGTGAAAATAAAAATCTTATTTATAAAAGGGAGGGGCAATTGCCCCACCTTGCCCCACCCTGTGCACGCAATATAAATCACAGTCTTAGTCCTAGGTCAAAAATCTAAAGTTGCTATCCATCCAGCAAAATGATTCGCTTTCCGTTTTGCTGGAAAAACAGTAAACATTGCTGATTTAACAATTAAGTGCTGTCAAATAGGCACTGGATCAATTACTGGTTGTGCAGCAAAAACACTATGCTGGATGGATTGCTGGACTTTCAGCTCGGCAAAATCCAGCTAGGTGGCAGCCCTATCTTGTTTGCCTTGCCTTGAAAAGAGCTAACATCGCTGCGGGCCCGCAAATCGTGGGTCCCATGGTGGGTATATAAATGGTGATACAGCTTTGTCACTATATAGGCGAGGAGGTCGCGGGGGGAAAGTGCTGTTTTAGTGCAAATTGTAAACAAACTCGGTCGCTGTCCCATACAAAAATCCAACATGGCTGAATCATGAATTTGACACATTAGAACACCTATATCACAGACAAACAGACATAACACATTGAATATTTCTCACTGTTAAACATCGTCGCTGAAACATTAGCGCCATCTGTTGAGTAAATTGTGGTGGGTAGTATGCTGACCAGATGGCGGTAGTGTGTAAACGTCAAACGCAAGGAAAATGGCTAAGCGCACCACATGTGGCGGTACTACCAACTACGATACTTTTAAATTGACCGTTAAATGCTTGTTCGATGAACAATTTGCGAGTAATATGTCTGTTTGTCTGTGCCTATATGTAGTCCCCACTGACAGCTCATAATTTGTAAACAAATCTAGATAGAGCTGGAATTTGTGTGTGTTGTTTATTTCGATTCTTTCCTGTCCTAGTCTGTCTTTCCTGGAGAAGACTATCACAGCGCACTTGCTGATGTCTAATTTCAGATTGAGACTCTGCAACTTTGAAATCTGTGCTAGAGAAATCGCTTTTCTCAGGCAATCGGTGATAATTTTAAAAATATGTAATATCGATCAACGTAATTGAATTATGTGCTGATGTATGAAATAATGATGTAATATAAAAAAAAGTAGATACAATATTACATCAATGGATTTAATTATGTCCGCAAAATCGGTATACATCGTACAACGTAATATTACACAACCAACGGAATGAGCTATGTGCAGTATAGTCGCTATAATTATAGTCTGGGGGATATCATTTCGATCTATTAAAAAGCTGAAGCTGCTGAACCAATTCAATATATTGTAGACCGACAATTGAAAAGGTAGCTTTTATATAAAAAAATACTTTGATAGTTCTTTGACTATATGTTTTAGTATTACTTCTACGTGAAGTCAACGATTTACATAGTTGAAGATGCTAATTTCAAATAACAGACTGAAGTGGTAATTTTTATACGATAGATGGAGTAGATGAAAGCATAGAGTTGATAGTTCCGTTAGAGTACGGCAGTGTGAAGATTGCATATAGATAATTAGAACAGCGAGCTAGGACAACTTTTAAGGAAGGTACAAATCGGTTTTTTCATCTCTCTTTACCAAACTTCCCCTTTGGACACACCCCTCACCATCCCTCTCCAAAGCGGGAGTTTGGTAAAGAGAGATGAAAAAAGTTGGAGGGTGGTGTACATGACACAACCGCATTGTTGACATAGGACTACGAATTTTTTTTTCGATTTTCTAGTTTGTTGCTTCGGATATTGTTTTGGAATTAAGAGAATTTCATAACTCAACTCTTTTGTAGAAAGTTGTGGTGGCCTTGAAAAGGGCCGATTGTTTTTGGGTGGTTTTGTATAACCAGTTGATGGTTGATGAAGTGCCTTCCGAGATTGATGTTGTCCTCGGAGTGTTAGGCCTTGGGCAATATGGAGGCCCTGCAATACGGTCGAGAACATGACACGATGTTGGATTAATGATTCACCTTAGGCATGGTGGATGGCATCGATGATACAGCAGTAAATAATCAAGATGCTCTTTGATTATGATGTCTGTGTTTGGGAAACAATCAAAAATGAAATTTTGATTGCCTTTCTTTTTGAACACGCCGGTAAAGTACACAGACTCCTTCCATCATGAGTTAGAGATGAACTAGCCTAAGGCTAAAAATCTCTTAAATAAAGAATTAAAAAAAAAATTCCATCATGAGTAGTTTGCTATCAATTAGCGACACTGGCTCCTCTCCTTTTGTACTCACTGTAATCTGTATTTATTTACGGTTCGGACGTTTTCGAAGATGTCGCGCAGCAGGAAAATGCATACGATGGGAATTTCTCAGTTGATGAAAGTGAAACGGAAAAAAAATTAATCCACCGATAAGATATGAACATAATTTATTTCCCGAACAAATTATTTGATTTTTGAATCATTTTGATGTATTTAGTGACAATTGGGTTCTTAAATTTTGAAAAATTTATCGGTTTTTATGTATCATCTGAAAAAGCTCTGTTTTCTGAGCACAGCGATATTTGTTCGAACCCCCACACTTTCATCTCGATTTTTAGATCAAGATTTAAATCAAAATAATAACTTCACTGTTTGAAACTGACAGCTCGCTCCCATACAAAGTGACACCGAGGGGCGCTAATAAGGTGATTTTTGCAAATGTAATCGTTCTTATTTAAAATAGTTACAGTGAACCAAAATTGATGAAATGATGATTTTAATGCAGATTACGAATATGCATTTCTTCAATACCCTTAAAGAACCCAATTGAATGGGTCTATATACATTATATTCTAACTCTTTACTGAAATGAACTTGGTGGCCCTGAATAGGGCCGTTTTGTTACGTTGGTGATAAGTTTTAACCTCCGAAACCGTAGACGACATCCATGGCCGGTTTTGCGCTTGGCGTGTTCAGTGTAGGTGACGGCATCACGCATATTTTCAGCACATTTCGGGTTTCCTCGAAGATCAGACCGGAGACGCTTGACATAACCACGTCGAGCCAGACGACGAATGGCAGGCTTGGCAGTACCCTTGATTTTATATAATATAGCCAATGGGAAGCGAGAATATATGGTACCGGCAGAGCTGGTTGCCTATATAACAGGTTGCTATCTACGCTTTAGGCTCAGTTTCGATTCACCCGTTCAACGAGAAACAAGTGTTAAGTGCTCGGAAAAGGAGGCACCAAGCGTCATCGTCATTCTAGGTGAAAAATCAAGGGTACTGCCAAGCCTGCCATTCGTCGTCTGGCTCGACGTGGTTATGTCAAGCGTCTCCGGTCTGATCTTCGAGGAAACCCGAGATGTGCTGACAATATGCGCGATGCCGTCACCTATACTGAACACGCCAAGCTCAAAACCGTCACGGCCATGGATGTCGTCTATGCTTTCATCTACTCCATCTATCGTATAAAAATTACCACTACAGTCTGTTATTTGAAATTAGCATCTTCAACTATGTAAATCGTTGACTTCACGTAGAATTATTACTAAAAACATATAGTCAAAGTACATAACTCTGGATGGGAGCATACCATCAATTACTGCCAATGGTCGAAAGGTACAGTAGCAACACCTACCCCACCCGTGTCCCCTCGAGATCGTCAAGTCGACGATGACAGGAGCACATATCGTGGTAGGGGTAAACAATAGTTGCAATTTCCAAACCTACGACTGGATGCCTTCCTTCAAATATCAACCGTAGTGCGGTAAAAAAGTCGGTAGAACTGTTTCAAACACGCAGTTGGTACTTGAGCGGTCGGTTTTCATCTCTTTTTGCTAGTGGTAGCGGGGGAACACACCCCTCACCATCCCTCTCCAAAGGGGGAGTTTGGTAAAGAGAGATGAAAAAACCGATTTGTACCTTCCTTAAAAGTTGTCCTAGCTCGCTGTTCTAATTATCTATATGCAATCTTCACACTGCCGTACTCTAACGGAACTATCAACTCTATGCTTTCATCTACTCCATCTATCGTATAAAAATTACCACTACAGTTTGTTATTTGAAATTAGCATCTTCAACTATGTAAAACTTTGATAGTTCTTTACATGCCAACCGAGCGCAAATTAACAGCATCATCGGATAGAGGAAGATAGAGGATTTATGAGAAAAGGATTTCCGAAGTTTTGTTCGCAAAAGCTGATGTGCTCTTTTCTGTTGTTGGTCGTGATATGCTTGATTAGCTATTTGACAGCTCAATTCGTTCCCGAGATTATAAATATAACAACTATACGGTGCAGCTGTTTGGATGTAATATTCAACAACTTTTTTTTGTGCATGTTAGATGTTGCTGTTTGTCGAAGTAGTACTCCACCCTATAATCAACTCCAAAATCAATGTATAAGTAACAAAGCATTTGGGAGATTAGTTTCGTATTGGGATGTAGAACTATTTTCAAATAGTTATTTTTAATTGAAGCACATTCTGCATGTGCGCACATTTATTGTACAAGCTCATAGCACAGGCTCACTGCAAGTCTCTTTAGTTTTGAGGTACAAACACACAGATTTCTATGTTTACTCGTATGTGCTTTGTGCGGTTCTCTATCACTGCTTACTGTTAAGTGGACCCTACACGATTGATTTGATTGACAATAATCGTATTGTCAATACATTTAATATTGACGTCAATACATCGGTATTGACAATATTTCTGTATTCACATCATCAATATTATTGTCAATAATTCCCCTTCGCGTCAATATATTGATACATGTGGGGTTCGCTTTAGATTTTCCGCAACGGATTGCGAACGGATACAATGTGCGTATGCCTTTAGAATGAAGGGAAAAGTCTCCTCTTTCAAATGGTGCCGAGCCGATATTTTTTTGTAATAATGTTATTCTCACAAATACACCGTGTATCGGAATATGTATGTACCTGCTGATTAGCATAACAAAAAGAAGGAAGCGTGTTGATTCGTAGTCCAAATGTATTCACAGGGGCGATTACAGCGTAGCATCGAATGTCATCATTCAAAGTAGGGACCACTTTGTTAAAAATTGAAGACTCGTGAATTTTCTTGTCGAGTGGACTGGATGACGTGAACTGAAAAAAAATAAGCGAATAAGGAAATTATATACCAGATATATATTAATATAATATATTATGAGTTCTGTTTTAGCCGAGGGGGGCGACACATCTAAATCTCAATTCTAGATGCACAACAAATCTCACACTAGCGAATCAATGTTCGAAAAATCATCTTTCGTTTCTCGCATCTACTTGCATCGCGCTTCATATTTTTGCAGGAAATCTTCAAAATCGACATAAATCTTCCTTCTATCTACTCAGCTAGCCACAGCAAAACACATTTTTTTCTGCATCGTAGATAGAGTCGTCCCCCTCGGTTTTAGCAAACACATAATTATGTATTGGGGGTAGGAGGGGCATAGTGAACATGTGAGGCATGATGAGCATCCTGTATTTTAGCCATAAATTTATAATTGTTCAAAACAAATTAATTGGTAGTAGGTTCAATATTGTTGCATATTTTTCTCTGGATTTCTTCGAAATTCATTGGCTGTTCTCAAGCACTTCTCTTTAGCTCAGCTGGCCGGCGTTGCTAATTCGCTGATCATCTCTCCATTTTCGCTGCAGCTCCGACAAAATTTGCGTCACTGCCCTGCTGACGACGCTCCACGTCCTCTCATCCCGGCACATTTCACTGACGACATTTCTCGCGCTAAGGCCGGCATCTCTACTCGCACTACCTCAAATCTTGGGCAGTCGAAAACTATGCCACACTCCGGACAGAGGGGTGACGTTGCGTGTCCGACGCGATGCAGGTACTTCCTGAAGCAGCCATGACCAGACAGGAACTGCGTCAAGTGGAAGTTGACTTCTCCATGCTTCCTGTTCACCAAGGTCGAAAGAATCGGTATTAACCTGTGTGTCCATCTACCGTTCTCCGCTGCGTCCCACTCCTGTTGCCACTTAGCCATCGACTCCGTTCTCACAAATGTCCGTACTCCTCTGGTATCTCTTCGCATATAGCATTCGGTGTCCTCCGCCAAGGTGATGACGATGGGTATCATACCGGCGATAACGCATACTGCTTCCGTCGAAATTGTTCTGTACGCACTCACGACTCGCATGGCCAAGAGGCGGAACGCACTGTTCAATTTTCTTTGGTTCTTCTTCGTTTTCTGCGCTGCATTCCAGGCTGGACATCCATACCTAAGCGTTCCAGAGCGTTGAGCCAAGGATGGAGCCTTGTGGCACACCCGCCGTGATCCGGATTGATTTCTCTCCCATGTCCGTCTCGTAGACTAGAACCCGGTTCTGGAAGTAACTCTACGCTTCTGTTTAGACGTTTTCTCGGCACTCTCGACCACTGTCCGAATTGCATCCACCGTTGATCTCCCTTTCCGGAATCCGAACTGCCTCACCGACAATCCATGCTCACTCTCCGTGCATTTCGTTAGCCTGTTGAGGATGATCTTCTCCAATAGCTTTCCGACTGTATCCAGCAAACTTATATGTCTATACGATGCTGGATCGCCCGGCGGTTTTCCGGGCTTCGGCAGCAGCACAAGCATAGAGGTAACTCTAAGACTAGTAGGTCCCGAAGAAACGTGCTCAACTTTTTGGCACAGCTCTGGTACTATCTTCGGTCCCAAGCTAATCGATTCACCCCTCGGAACATAGGAAAATCAAATAACCCCTCATTTTATCTGTCAAATTTTCATAGCGAATCAAAACAAACATTGTGTAGTACTAGAATTTTGACTAGAATGGGGTATGTTAATCGATTTGCTTGGGACCAATAGGGTAGTCAAGTAGTGAGCCAATTTTAAATCGTTAGTTTCGTATTGATTGTTGGCACTAGCTTCTGTATCTTCCATCGGTCCGGGAAGTGACCTTCATCCAGACACTTCTGCAGCACTATCCTGAACATGTTCGGGAAGTGTGTGTGTATGTGTGTGTGTGTGTTTTTTTATTGTAAAGTTTAGGAAAGCTTCAAGAAGCGTGGTCTGTAGTGAAGTTGGCACGGTGTGGTATCCACTAGTTGCCTAGTGCAGCTCCACTAAAACCCATTCCTTACTCTCTCCTCTGCCTGGATCCCCCCGGGACCACTGTGAAGCGACTACTTCAGGGGGTGGCTGTGCTCATGCACTTGTGTTACTCTCAGTGCTAGCTGGCGTTGCTAGATCGCTGCTCTTCTCTTCATTTACGCTGCAGCTCCGACATAATCTGCGTGACTGCCCTGCTGACGGCATTCCAAGTGCCCTCCTCTCAACACATTTCAACGACGACATTCTCCACGTTAAGGACGGGCATCTCCGTTCGCACTGTCTCGAACCTTGGACAGTAGAAGACCACATGCTCCGGCGTTTCATCGACGTTGCCACACTCCGGACAGAGGGGTGACGCTGCGTGTCCGAACCGATGCAGGTATTTCCTGAAGCAGCCGTGGCCAGACAGGAACTGCGTTAGGTGGAAATTGACTTCTCCGTGTTTTCTGTTCACCCAGGTCGAAAGAATCGTTATTAGTCTATGTGTCCACCTACCGTTCTCCGCCGTGTTCCACTCCTGTTGCCACTTAGCCAATGACTCCACTCTCACAACTTTCCGAACTCTTCCGCCTTCTCTCCACCTGTAGCACTCGCTGTCCTCCGCCAGGGTGATGCCGAAAGGGATCATACCGGCGATAACGCATACTGCTTCCGACGAGATGGTTCTGTACGCACTCACGACTCGCATGGCCATAAGCCCGAACGCACTGCTCAGTTTCCTTGGTTCTGCTTCGTTTCCAGCGCTGGAACCCAGGCTGGACCTCCATATCTCAGTATCGATGATGACATGCTGGCCAGAAGACGCCTCTTGCTACTGCTGGGACCAGCGTTGTTCGGCATGATTCTAGCTATCGCGTTGATGGCCTTCGAAGCCTTCTCACAGGTATATTCGATGTAGCTGTTAAAGTTTAGCCGGTCATCAATCATCACTCCCAGGTATTTTAACATACGCTTCGAGGCTATGGTGTGCTCCCCGACAGTGATTTCTGCCCGCTGTACCGCTTTACAGTTACTGACCAATAACACTTCCGTTTTGTGGTGGGCTATCTGCAGCTTCGCTCCTTGCATCCAGTTACCAATCATGTCGATCGCCTCGGTTGGCAACACTTCCACCTCTTCCAGCGTCTCGCCTGTTACCGTCAAGACGACGTCGTCCGCAAAGCCAACGATCGCAACTCCTTTGGGCAGTTTCAGCTTTAGCACGCCGAGTGTGTGTGTGTGTGCGTGTGCGTGTGTGTGTGTGTGTGTGTGTGTGTGTGTGTGTATGTGTGTGTGTGTTTGTTTTATGTACTTATTTGAAATCGCTACAATCAGCATTAATTTACCAAAACGATCCCTGCTGCAAACCTTTCCCCACATCCAACATTCCAGTGATTTTTCGTGCAACGCAGAGGACTTCTCGGTTTCCTTCACAGCGAGTATCACGTCAACACATTTCTTCCCATTCCCTTTTTGACCTGCATTCTCCAGTTTTTACACATTGAGGATGTTGGTTCTCTGTGTAACTGCAACTGATCTGGCAATAACAGAGCAGCAACCGTGAACGCTCAATCATGCTCATGCTCATGTTATAAATTCTCATTTTTAAAAACTCTCATCATAAATATATAGGAAATTTTGCCAAATGTTGTAACCTTTTTTTTCCTTGATTTGTTTTCCGTCGATCTTGTTTTCCGTGCTGAGCACCAATGCTCCCCCACCTGGACCCTACCTATCGACTCATTAACTCATGAACCGGGGACCAACGGTTTTACTTCCCTTCCGAAGGAAGGCGTGATCAGAGATGTTATGGCTCAGTACATCCTGGCGGCGCCGACTGGGATTGAACCCAGACCTGCTGGGGTGAGAGGTAATCACGCTTACCACTAAACTACCGGAGCCGCTAAATTTTGTAAACTTACACAATAGAAATGACAAAATAATGTATTATTAAATTACAAGAGGCGATGGGATACGCAAGCCCGTGCCCCTTTGCCCATTCGAAACACTGGTAATAAGAGGCGCCTCATCACTAACCATACAGAAACATACAGAAGTAGCTGAGTTGCGCATTTCTCCATCTAAATAGCACCACAACTGACCTGCGAGTGCAATGAAATAAAAGGGATATCGACTTATTACCATAGGGGATATCACTTATTACCATAGAGCTAAGACTAGTAGATCCCGAAGAAACGTGCTCACCTTTTTGGCTCAACTCAGGTACTATCTTCGGTCCAGAGGTAATCAATGCACCCCTCGAAACATAGGAAAATCCACGAACCCCTCATTTTATCTGTCAAACTTGCATAGCGAATCAAAACAAACATAGTGTAGTACTAGAATTTTGACAAGAATGGGGTAAGTTAATCGATTTGCTTGGGACCAATAGGCTAGTCAAGTAGTGAGCCAATTTTAAATCGTTTCCACCGGTTGTTATTACTGCCTCACTTCTCTCCCATAAGCTCTCAGAATTCGCCGATTCGGTGTCTTCTTTCGACGCAGATGATGTGCGCTAATCGAAAGTTAAGAATGTGTCTCAGCATTCACAATAAATTTCCGTGCGCGTATTGAACTACAACAGCCGAACGTATGAACGAATATGATGCACATAGCGCATTTTAAATCAATAATTACCAAAGGCATAAATCTAGGGAACTGCAAAGATAAAGGTTTGTAGAAAAAAATAAATAAACAGCAATGAAAACTTTCAGCTAAAAAACACTAATATGTATCAGTAGGCTGATGCAAAATTTGAAATTTTCGCTCCACGGTGTTCAAACGGTTTCAAATCGGGTCCTGATTAGCCTCCGAAAGTTTAAATTCATTTGATTAGAAACTGAAATGGCACAAACTATTTGAAGTTTATATGGAAATTAGTATGGGAAAACAAAATCTTTTGTTCATTGTCTTTTAGCCTTTTTACATATTGTACTGGTAACAAATTCTATTGCTATTCTTATGGGAATTTTTATCAACTACAACTTTGCAGAAAATCGTTTTTCAGCCAAACGTCAAATCAAATAGTTATTAATTGTTTAAGAGATTGATAATCTTATGGCAAGATTAAGCAACTGTATTGTGGGCAACACTGTATTCTGCAGTGTGACATAGTAGCCATGATTTTTGTCCTCTATTCTACGCGCCATAAACACCAATATTGCCTGCTGAACAGTTGATTGAGCATAATCATAAGACATCAGTGACTTGAATCATTAATAACTTTTGTTCCTGATGAATGTATGCGTCTTAGTGGAATACCTGTATAATGAGAGAGAGAAGGATTAGTATTTTCCATTTAATTCCACTACTTTATTTGCTTATCCTTGACAGATACGCGTATTTCGTCTACAATGTGCAGACTTCTTCAGTGTCTTGTACTAATACTCGAAGTCGAGTATTAGTACAAGACACTGAAGAAGTCTGCACATTGTAGACGTAATACGCGTATCTGTCAAGGATAAGCAAATAAAGTAGTGGAATTAAATGGAAAATACTAATCCTTCTCTCTCTAATTAAACTTTTGTTCTTTACATTTGATCGAAAAATAGTCTTCAACAAAGTTGTAGCTGAGCTATTATTTTCTAAAGTAGAGTGAACTGGTGAATTTTGAGATAGATATGAACCTAAATTATGGTTTCTTCATAGTAATTCCAATATAAACTTCAAATGGTTTGTGCCAAGTTAGTTTCTCATTAAATGAGTTCAAATTTTGGGAGACTAATCAGGGCCCAATTTGGAACCGTTTTCAAATTTTGCATCAGTCTAATGTATCAGGGTGTCGACACAAAGTCGGAAAAAAAATTCCCTGACTTTCCAGTCGGTTTTCAGAAAAATTTCCAGTCCACAAAACTCACTATTCATTACTAAGTAATAATAGGAATATTTAATCCATGTCACCAAGCTCTCAATTTGTGTTCATAATGTCACAGCGAAATAAAAATCAACCCGTAGACGATCCTTTCTCTTAACATATAAATTATTGTAAAATAACAGAGCAGTGATTATTCTTGCTTTGGCAACCGAACCTGAGGATGCACTGCTCATGCATAAGTCAGTAAGTATTCGTACTATAAATAGAATTCCCTGACATTCCCTGACTTTCCAGGTAGTCGACACCCTGTGTATGTAATTTGAGCACCTTTTTTTGGTACTTTCAACATACTTTTCAAATTTTATTGAGCATAATTAACTTTAATCGAGCTCCTCTCAAAGGAGTTTTGATAGATAAGACTTCAATCTTTCATTTGGTGTTTTGAAACCAGAAAAATACATTAGGATTAGGTTCGCTATAAAAAACATTGTTACATTCAATAAAAGTGTTTCGTTACATCATACGTGAAGTTTACGATTTTCAGAGTTGGGAGGAAATGCTATATACTAATATCAACATGAAGCTTTACTGCAATAATTTCTAAGCTAGAGAAAGTTTTGAAGAGGATAGATTGATAGTTTCGCTAGAGTACGACCAATCGGTGGAAACTAACGATTTTAATTGGCTCTCTCACTCACTACTTGACTAGCCTATTGGTCCCAAGTGCGTATCCCATTCTAGTCGAAATTCTAGTACTACACAATGTTTTGATTCGCTATGAAAGTTTGACAGGTAAATTGAGGGGTTCGTGGATTTTACTATGTTTCGAGGGGTGCATCGATTAGCTTGGGACCGAAGAGAGTACCAGAGCTGAGCCAAAAAGTTTAGCACGTTTCTTCGGGACCTTCTGGTCTGAGAGTTACCTCTATGATACGGCAGTGTGCAAATTGAACAGAAGTTGAAATTGAACGGAGAGCGAAAGTCAATGGGAATTAGTATTGCAGACGTTAATGTCATTAACAACCCTGTAACATACTGTCCCATTTTATATCTCTGAGATTCAGCGTTCAACTCCCTTGAACTGCGAAAAAAACGTTGATCGACGTCAAGAGAGATGAAGCACCTACTCACCTGTAAGATATGCCTTGCTTTCACATCTACATTCACCTCGGAAACTGGCTTTTCTGTGTGTGCTTGCGGATCGAACAAAGAGCTCATTTGCTTTTTAACAATTAATGGTAATAGTTCTCCTTTGAGTGTAGAAAAACCAGCGTCCTAAAACAAAAAAAATTCAGAAGTAATGCATATTATGAATTATAACCAAAAACGAAGATGTAACTTACGTTACATAACGATACTTACTGATTCAAGATAATCTACAACCCATTTTTTAACAATGTATACATGGGCATCCAGCAAACCACTGCGTATTTCAATTTCCCCGTTCTGGCGCAGCAAGTGACCGGGTATTTGGAAATCGTTCTCAAAGTCACTCACTGAGCCCATGAAAACCAAACGGTTTGATTCGGGACAAATCCCGAACAAGTCTTGTTCACTTTTATATTTGATTTTTGGGCCTGGTACTACTACGCTGTTCATTTCACTTTGAACCAGCAAACCGACCACTGACGCATTGTGCTCACGAAACTTTTTGAGAGCAGGATATAAACTGAACGCTACGATCGTATCGCATGATAGTAGGATAACGTCGGTTTTGATCCTGTGGAAAAGACATAATTAATTATCGCACTGTAGAAAGTTAGTTTAAGATAAATATACGGCGAAACTAAATGGTCTAATAATTGTCGAGAATGCATATAGCGTCAAGTAGCCAGTCACCGTGGGGCTCCATTCGCCGTGTTTTTTTTTAAATTAAGGTCTAGGGTTAACTACCCCATTTCCGGCCTATTAAGCCAACCCGCACTTAGTCTTGCTTAATCTAGCGCAGTTTAGCACCAAACGGAATGTTATTATTACTGATGGCTTCCAAATTTATTTACGTTTCTGTATGTACCGTAAGATTTGATAAAGAGAAACCAATCGTTGAGATATTGTCAAAAGTCTAACACTGCTTCTTGACGCCAAACTCGGCCTACGGATTGTAAACTCGGCCTAACGCATTGAAACGCCAATGAATTCACTTCGGCCTATCGGATGAAGATAAAAATTGATTCGGTCGGAGTGCTCCTTTTGGTTTTGGGAATAATGGGTGCAAACCTTCATATCGGGCGTTCTCATTGACTTCGTTCCGTAGCTTATTAACTAAAGTATCGTACCAAACGCATAATTGACTTGTTAACTCATGGATTTATTTTAAGTTTTCTGCTCGATAGACCCAAAATGGGCGATTAGGCCGAAGTAGTCCTCTACCCTATTGCTCTTTCGAAATAGTGCAAAAATCCTACACTCAAAAAATAAATCACATTTCCAATGGAAAATATCCATTAGAATTTCACATAACTTCCATGTGATCTCATAATTGGGATTCGCACCAGCAAATCACATGAACCTTATGTTTTCAATGAACTTTTTGTGATTTATCACATAGAATTCATGTGATCATATGAATAATATGTGAATTTCAGATAAAAATAATTAATTTTGTTATTGGAAAAATATCATGTGCGTTCCCAATGAAAACTATATGAGAACTTTTTTCAGTGTACATATATACCGGACATGAACATAACTTCTGCAAATGAAAACTTTATGTCCAATCATTATGAGAAATCACGTAGGAGTTCTACGGGATTTCTCATAATGATTGGACATATAGTTTTCATTTGCAGAAGTTATGTTCATGTGCGGTATATATGTTGTGATGTTATGTGATATTGTGATAAACATAATTAATTTTGGTTTGTGCTACATTACCCCGAATGTCACTTCCCCGAACGCCATTACCCCATATATCTCCGAATGAGATTCTGCCTTCTTTTGCTGATCATTCTTTTCACATTCGGGGTCGATGGCGTTCGGAGAAGTGACATTCGGGGTAATGTGGCACAATCATGACTTAATAAAGCGACTAGTTACTATTTCTGGAAGTTAATCTATGAAACGTCTATTCGACTTACCGTAAATAGGGTAGAGAACTACTTCGTCCTAATCGCCCATTTTGGGCCTATCGAACAGAAAACTTCAAATTAATCCATGATTTCAGAGTTAACAAGTCTATTATGCGTTTGGTACGATACTTTAGTTAATAAGCTACGGAACGAAGTCAATGAGAATGCATGATATGAAGGTTTGCACCCATTATTACCAAAAACAAAAGAAGCGTTCCGACCGAATCAATTTTTATCTACATCCGATAGGCCGATGTGAATTCATTGGCGTTTCAATGCGTTAGGCCAAGTTTTGAATCCGTAGGCCGAGTTTGGCGTCAAGAAGCAGTGTTAGACTTTTGACAATATCTCAACGATTGGTTTCTCTTTATTAAATCTTACGATACGTACGGAAAGGTAAATAGATTTGAAAGGCATCAGCAATAATAACACTCCGTTTGGTGCTAAACTGCGCTAGATTAAGAAAGACTAAATGCGGGTTGTGCTTAATAGGCCGGAAATGGGGTAGTTAACCCTACCATAATTTCACACAGCGGTTAACTCCACGCATTTTGCCAAAATGTTGTGGTGTAGTTATTGTAATTTTTTTTTAATTATTGTTCAACTTTTTTTTTTTTTTCTTTTGTTTACAAGGCTTTCAGCCATTGGCTGGTTTGCCTTGGAAGCGTTCCACACCTGAATAATACCTATGTACATTCTCACCACAATTCAAAATATCCACATTATAGATCAGTGCACGGTCCCTAACCTCACTTTTTGCTCCCTATCATTTTGCTTCTGAGTAAAAGAGATAGCAACGAATGGGAGCCAAAACAAACCACCCAAAACTGTCAAAACTTACGGGTGAGAGAAGAGTGCGGCAAATCTTCGTGAACTGATCAATAGGTAGGGTAAGGTGAGGCAAGGTGGGTAATCTAAATGATTTAATTATTATTATTTTTTTTGTTCGCCATCAACAGGCTAAAGGTAGCCTCAATGATGGTTTATAAAAGGAAAGCATCATTGGGGTTGCATTGAACCTGTTGATTTTGCCAAATAAATAGATTAATAAATTACTGATTCATCTTGCCTTACCTTACTTTACATAATTTTGGAATTTTCAAAACTGTGCAGAATTATGACACTTTACGGTATAACAGAACAGATTTTGCTCTCAATCATCTCCATAAATATTATTTTTATTTAGTTCCTCGGTGTACTGCCTTTCTACATTCGTCTCATGTTACTTTTGATTTGTTCTGAACATAAATGCCTACACACCAAATTTTGAAATCCTGTTCCAGCAAAATGAATTGCTGAATCGCATCCAGCAAAACTAACTTAAACTGAAAATTCAGTAAAATGAAATATTTTGCTGAACGTTCCAGTAAACTGTATGAAACGTCAAAATCAGGCCAAAATCTATCATTCGTACCTTGACGATTTATGATTATTTTTATGTTCAAAGTGTTCGACTCACAAAATATCATGGATATTATATAAAAAGAGCTTTTGTCATGAAGTAAGTATACTAAACTACCTTAGCAACCTGAATTAAGTTGAAAAACTTTCGTTTTTCTCTGAAATTTACAGTTTTCTTCATTCGCAAACCTACCCAGGAGTCTCCTTAATAAAGAAACAACAACAACAATAACTCACCCAGGATGGCCCATCATAGCTTCTTCAAGACATGATTTTTTAAAGAAGTGCAGTCACATTTAATAAATTACTATATACAACTACATGAAAGTGTAATAAAATATTTATTCCAATAATGCCTCTTTAAAAAAACAACAATCGAGATTTGCTGCTCTTCCAGCAAAATGATCGATGTTCCGTTTTGCTGGATAATCAGTAAAGTGCTGTCAATTTGACATTGGCCTAAATTGCTGGTCGTCCAGCAATAATATTTTGCTGGATAGATTGTTGAACTTACAGCTCGGAAAAATCCAGCAAAATATTGCTGGTTTCCAGCGATAAAAAATGAGTGTGTACGTTGATTTTTTAAGCGCGCATATTTTTTAGCATCAAAAGAAACATTATAAGCTGAAAAACATTCTAAAAGTCAGACCATAAATATTTACCTGTCAGCAATTTGACGCAATGCATCTGCTGTACCCACATCAGAATCTCCAGAAAGGCTGCAAAATTCGATCTTCAACTTAAGAGAATGTTTCTCTAGTTTCTGTTGAATCTCTGATTTTTCCTGTTCCAATACGATAACAATGACATCTGTAAATATTAAGTAACATTATGGTAATATAACAAAAAACAAAAAAACATAAGTAAATTATGCTTAAATATGTTTGTCTCAAATGGAATGTTATGCCTGCATAATTTACTTATGTTTTTTTTTGGCATATATGCAGCCTGTCAACATTATCATCATTAAGCAGTGGCGTCTGCGTAGAGCTTTTACGGCAATTTATCAATGGACGACTGAAGCGACAAAACTGAAAGTTCAAATCAAATACTTAAAAAAAAACATAATTTTTTCCATCGCACTTTTCACGTAAGAGTTACGTGACACATACATGGAAGCAATCATTTCAGTGAGCGAGATGGTTACTGGATTATCAAGTAGAAGCTACGTGATTCTGTCGATGGAATTTATAATCGTCTCCAATGATTTCAATTTCGTTTTACACTGAAAAGTAACTGCAGCAAACGAATTTTATAGCAAAAACTCTAACCTCAGGAGAGATTTGCTGTATTTGCTATTTTTCTTTTGCATTGCTTCCACCTTCGCTCAAGCGCAGCGCTACTGTAACTGTTGCTTGTGCCCCGTAACATGGGTAGATCACCTTTTCGTGGTACGTTACGGGATGTAAAGGCCGGCGCACAATAGATACGTTTTCAGGTTTTTTGACAGTTAGCCCATGCATTATCTGTCAAAAAAAAAAAACCCGAAAACGTATCTATAGTGCGCCGGCCTTAAGATATACCTCCGACTACTGACTACTTCAAACTAGGGGAACAGGATTTTCCAGTAATCCAAGGAACACATCTTAGTCTTTGTTACTTTTTATGCCTTGTTGATAGTGACAAGGCTCCCCTAATAAACAAATACCATAAACAAACAATAACCCAAATAGTCAAACTTTTCCACAAATGGTTTGGATGATACCCCGAATGTCGTTAAGCAAAATAACCATAATATTTTTATTAGGGTCGGCTTTGTCCACCGAGGATGATCTTGAAACAATGAAAAAATGAGTTAGTTAGTCTTCATCTATGTGATTCCTAATCTTCTATTTGCTGTTCCATAGTTTGAAGTGGTTAAGACTAGGGTTCTGATGCATGATCATTATAGATGTCATTCCTTAATTTTGTTGCTAAGGAATCCAATTTTGACTGACAAAGGGGCGCGCCGTGGAGGGTGTTTCAACAATCCGAAGGGTATAAATAGCAGGACCTTTCAATTAGAGTCGGATCCTTGTGATAAATGCAAGAATGATAATGTTTTTTTACCGTGTGGTTCATTGCCCCTAGCCAACTATTATGCGAAGTTTCATGGAATTATGAGAGGTAAAATCTAAAATTTAACTGCTTAGCGGGTAATGTATTCAAAATTATTTACAAAACTAAGCCCTACAGTAAAAGTATGGACGTCTGTCAAAAGTTGTTCCATTAGAACTGTCAAAATGCACCGCTTTGCTCGATTGGAGTTTTGTGTTGACAGTCGCCCACGCTTTAACAAAACTGGGGGAAGGAGAAACATAACTGATGTCGTGTTGCCATAAACGGGAAGGCACTGTAGTAATTAAAATCAATGCGGTTGTTTGCAAGAATGTAAAATTTCTCGTCGCAGTCACAATACAATACGGTATTATATACATACCTTGAAATCCGTGTATCTGCAGCATTTTTAGCGGATACCAAATCAAAGGGTATGATCCAATCGGAAGTAAACATTTCGGCCGTCCTTCGAGAATTTCTGGGAACCGGCTTCCTTTACCCGCCGCAAACACAACTGCTTGGAATTCGTTCGTAGCCATTATGGAGGACATTTTCGGAATAATATTTCCAGACAATATGGGGATGTATTTCCGAATACTTCAACGTTTCACGTTTTGAAATACTTAGCAAAAATATTGCTTAAAAGTCTTTTCAGTCAGAATTTTCGATTATTGGCGATCGAGTTGACGTTGACAGTTTTGTTGACACTCATCGTCATCAAAGATTTGGTTTACCGAGGTGAAGCAATACACGGTAACCAGCGTAAACACATTAATGTGTAAAATTTCACACATTTCGTGAAAAAAGGGGCCTACTCATAAAACGTGTAAAATGCGTTTCCACATTTAGTGTAAACCCAGCAAACGTCAATAGAAGTGTATTTTTTACACATTTTTCAAAATTTTACTGTTGAAACTAAGGCTGTGGTCCATTTGGTAAATTTTCACTTAAATTTGACACTTCGAAACTAAATTATAATGTTTGAAAATCCCTCTGTTGTTGATCGGCCAATTTTCGAGAAGGTGTGTGTCAAAATTGATTCCTTGTCTGTCAGATATAAGTCTGCTGGAATAGCAGGTTTATTTGAAAATTTTCCATCTGTCAAGTTTAAGTGAAAATTCACCAAATGGAACACAGCCTAAGAATTTTGAGAAAATTTGAAAATGAAAATGCATTATTTTTATTAATACAATTTTCGTTGTTTGTGTGTATGAATAAATGTATCCTTCACTGTGCTATCACTGTTCACATTACAGCCTACACAGCAAAAAAAAATGTAATATCGATCAATGTAATTCAAGCTGATGTATGAAATAATGATGTAATAGCGAAAAGTAGATACAATATTACATCAATGGATGTAATTTTGTTCGCAAAATCGATATACATCGTACAACGTTATTTTACACAACCGATGGGTTGACCTGGTTGCAGCAGTTTGGATGTAAAATTCAACAACTTTTTTTTCTGTGTATATCACGTAATATCCCGTAAAAAAAATCTAATAAAAATACAATGATTTTCATTGTCATTGTAACCATGATATTTGCCGTCAAAACATTGGACATTTTTGTCCATTACCATAAAAAACGAAATTCATGGTTCACAACAATTAAAATCATGGTATTTGAGAAATTTACAGTAAAAAAGGGGGGTTGTTAAGGTTGTTAAGCATCTTAACAATATAAAAAAGTGATTTTTCCCCAACAAATTTGATCTCATCACACTAATTTTCGCTGTTTGAGCATTGTATCGTTAAAAATTGAAATCTATTTTTCTCCCGTACAATAATTTAACAATAAATTTTAATGTACTAAAAATTCAACAGTAAAAATAATTGTAATTTCGTTTTTTTTTATTATACTTATTTTTTCGGGATAGGCTGTCGTGCAATGAGCACTCATACATAGGATTTGTATAGATGTATGAGTGCTCATTGCAAGACAGCGTATATCACGTGATATACGCTGTAATGTGAATGGGGTAGGAGGTTCGGATTTTGACCTCTTACTTTCCCTCCTCCAGGCACAGAAGAATTTGACAGCTCCTCCTTTTCCTCTATAACGCTGGTCCAGACTGGAGAGTTATAACATTTTATAACGGTTGTCAAATAATTGCAACACAGAAACCACCATCAAGATAGCGCTATAACATGTTATAACACTGTAGTCTGAATGTACTAATATAGCTTGGTACATATCGCACCGCGTTGCGGAAAATAGATAGAGTTTTCTAAATAACGTTATAGGAAAATCATGATTCACGCAAATTGTGCTCGTCAATTCGAAAACAATTAAATCATTTTTTAATTGTCCATGGCGGGAAAGTAAGAATGGTTTTGAAGGCATTACATTTGTTGCCACCTTGCCTCATTTCGAGGGGGACGACTCTATCTACGATGCAGAAAAAATTGTGTTATGCTGTGGCTAGCTGCGCGCACACTGATTAGATAGAAAGTAGATTTTTGACGATTCTGAAGATTTCCTGCAAGAAGATGATGCGCGATGCAAGTAGATGCGACAAATGAAAGAAGATTTTTCGAAGATTGATTCGCTACACAACAAAAAAAAAATGTAATATCGATCATTGTAATTCAAGCTGATGTATGAAATAATGATGTAATAGCAAAAAACAGATACAATATTACATCAATGGATGTAATTTTGTTCGCAAAATCGATGTACATCGTACAACGTTTTATTACACAACCGATGGATTGACCTGGTTGCAGCAGTTTGGATGTAATATTCAACAACTTTTTTTTCTGTGTAGTGTGAGATTTGTTGAGCATCTAAACTTGAGATTTAGATGTGTCGCCCCCCTCGCCTCATTTAATGTTACATGGTTGGAGTTTAAATATGCTACACGCTATTTCAAAACTACCCAAATTTGGGTGACATCCACCCTGATCGGTCAAAACTGAACCTACCCAAAAATGGGTAAACATGCATTTACCCAAATCTGGGTAAACGTACCTGCGACAGAAACTGGGTAACGGTTACTCAGATGTTGACATTTTATAAAAGGGTAAACTTTACCCATTTTAATATAAAATAGATTATATGACCGCTGCAGTAGCTCCATCAAACATAACCTCACCCGACTAGCTCCTCTAGCCTGTTATTGATTGTTGGGGTCGTATTATCGAAAAAATATAAACTACGGAATACGACATTGAAATACCAAAAAAAAACGATACCGTTACAAATGCTTACCATTTATTGAGATTTTATATTAAATGAGATCTATAAATTAGGAACTACATCAAACATTTGGCATCGAGAAAAGCGTCACAGAATATTTCCTCGAATATCTCGATAACCTAGAACTAGGAGAATGTTCAAAGTCCAGAAACTAACAATATACTTACTAACTTTAGCTGCTGGTAGTATTCGCCATGCAAGCAGTTCCACGTCTGTACATTTTTAGCATCAGATTTATATATTTTGAGCATTAAAAGTTTCACTGGCAGCGCAACAATCTTCCTTTCATACATGCGCCATTTTTAACTTTGGGAAAAATTCGATTAGAACATTTTACCCAGAATCTGGGTAGATTCTACTCATGAGAACAAAACTAGTTTACCCAGATTTTGACAACTCCTTACTGGATACAAGAATGGGTGCCATCTACCCAGTCACTGGGTATATTCAGAATAGCGTGTATGGATCATGGCAGAAATGAGTGAAAGAACTTACTTTTCGGGACTTTTTTTCTTACCGTGCCCAACAATATTTCACGATCTGCTCACCTCTCTCTGTACTCTTTATTGACCTTTCTGATGCTTATAACTCGCACAATTTCCTAATCTCAGCTCAAGTTCGAAGTTTGTGATCCTCACTTTCGCTCCAGCCAAAAGTGTTGGTTTGTTATTGTCGAGGTATGACCACCAACAAACCGACATGAAACTTAAACTTAACTTTTGATCGAGAATCCATAATGGCCGAAACAAATGTGCAGCGATCCCATCGGTCAAAACCATAGAAATGTTTTATCTAGATAAAAAATAATTTGTCCGAAATAGATTAGACACGAACCAACTTATACATTTTGTACGCGTTTTCGTAGCTAGGATAAATATTTTCCGCAAACACGGCGGCAGATGTCAATGCCTTTGTGCTTTGATCAGAAATTTCGAGGGGGGCGACAAATCTAAAATGGCATGTGGATAGCAGATAAGATGAATCTACTTTTTTCGATCAGTGTAGTTTATTCAGATTAGACATCCTATACTGAAAAAAGTTTTCACATAGTTTCTATTAGGAACGCACATAATATTTTTCCAATAATAAAATTAATATTTTTTTATGTGAATATCACATAACCTCATACATTCCATGTGAGTTATCATATAGCTTTCATTGGACACATAAGGTTCATGTGACTTAGTGGAGCAATTTCGAATTATGGGATCACATGAAAGTCATGATTCACATGGATATTTTCCACTGGTTATGTGATTTATATTATGAGTGTACCGTTCGCTGCACCATTCGATGCACCAGGCTGCATTTACTTTTTCGATGCTGTAAAAGATGCAGAAGATAGACGTAGTTTTTGGCTTAGATGTCAGAACAAGAAATGAGAAAAATACATTTGAATATGAGTACACAGAGAAAAATGATCGGTTTTTTAAACCCTTCCGTAAATTAAACTGTTTTAAGTGATGAGTGTTGTTTTATTACATTTCGTATTATGCTGTGTAACGGATTCTTAGAGGTGATTAGTAGTTAATTATTAAAATTACGGTATAATGTATTGTTTATAGTAACTCAAACAGCATCAAAACTTTACTAGTGGACGGGCAATTAATTTCTTCAATCATTTTCTACGGACATTTAATCGGACGGTAGCAAAACTGCAATTACTGCTTAAATAGACTGTGCCTGTTTCTGAAAACAGAGGAACGGAACACCAAAACAGAAATCTATAAAATTACTCCGGATGTGGTGCAGAAGAAATTCAAAATTGTTTTACGGAGCTCAAAAGTTACGTGACCCAGCTCTCATAGGATTAGTCATTGGCGTACAAGTACGAGAGATATGTTCAATTTAATCCTTTCTGTCTTCACTAACTTATCAGGCAAGCATCTGGACCTGGTTTAGACGAAGGAACTGCATAATATCTCCAAAGCAGCTCGGCAAGTTTTTCAAAATGTCATCAAGGAAAGCTAGGTACCCAGGTTTGTTAAGAAACACATATTGAATGAGAATTATTTGGGTAGTACCACAAACGAAGTGACAGACGACTAACTGGCGAAGAAATCCATTAACATAATGTGGTTAACTGTAATAGAATTTTCTTGGAAGCTTGTGCCATCATCCACCAGATGGGTTAGTTTTTTTGTTTTGATTTGAACAAAGTTGATTTTGTGTACAATGATTCTTTGACAGTGTGCAAAGAGTGCGTATCATTTTGTCATTTTTTTATGCATTTCAGTTTTGAGTAGAGTGAAAGAGATAGAACCAAAACATTCTAATACATTTGGTGAAAATGCTAGTACAATCCAGTAGTAGTGTTGCCATGTGGTACAATCTAGTAGTAGTGGTGTTGCCATGTGGTACACTGAAAAATTGAAATAGCAGGTTAGTCACCAAAGTTTTCGAGCCGCTCCGTCTGTCACTTCGTTTGTGGTAGTACGGCTAATAGAGACGAGAATAGAGATTGCTGACGTTTATCGTACGCACACTACGTGACGTATACGTATACGTAAAATGTTTTCATCGGGAAAAAAAACTTCATAGCGGAAAATTTTCGCGATGAAAACAAATCACTGACACTATCACACTTTAGCAATCTCTATACCAACTTGCTTCGCTCTTTAGGTTTAGCACGGAAGACACCCGGAAAATTTACTACATTCTGGTGATGGTTGAAAGATGAGCTCTAGGAAAAGATCAAAAAGAGCTATATCCGACGACATCTGGCTCGGGATTGATCTCTTTAATCATGAAGTGTTCCCAAGTTTATCTGACATCTACTATTGCGAACAGCTTATGGATACCCAGTAGCTTTTGAATAATCCTCATAGATTTATTACAATCCTTTATATCCCACCTGTGAATTTTATGATTTATTAAACGATTATTGAAAACACGGACATTTGAACAAAATAATCTCCCGGTTTATTTCAGCTTCTTTTTTCGTTCAGTAGTTAAAGATAAGCGTAGCTTTATAGTAATTTCCACACGTTACTGTTGAGGGTCACATTCGATATCGCTTCGTGAGATATTCCACAGGAACTTCCGTTGATGCGCAAACGTCGAAGGGTAGATAGGCCTTTTTAATAGAAACTAAACGATCGATTCAACCTCTGGTGGTGAATAGGAAAACGTCAAAAAGAGTGTTGTGAGCATACATTTTTGCCTTGAGACATAGGAAGCGGAACACTTTTTTACTTTTCCTGATAAAATGATTCACCTGAGATGCTGCAAAACTTAATCTACAGTTGAAAATTTTAATTCTGTAACGTTTTTTAAAAGATCCTGCTGGGTGTTCACGAATATTCAGAATTGTGGAAAATCGTACAATAAGACAATTACCGATGGAAATTGGCAAGATTTTGAATGAAAAATGCTGTTATTTGCGTTGGGGAAAATACTTATTCTGATGTAAATAAACGGTTTGGTTGACGTTTCTTCTCGAACTCGCGTGGCGCACTCTACGTTGGTGGTGCATTAAAAAGGTGTATAAGGATAACCGCTTTCTGTTACAACAGGGTACTCGCATAGCATCTGTCATGCTGACACCGAATGTCGTAGCACTGGAAAATTCTTGCACTCCACTTCAAAGTAATCCATCAAGCATCTCGCGCTGGCATCTGTCATGCTGACACCGAATGTTTTAGCACTGGAAAATTCTTGCACTCCACTTCAAAGTAATCCATCAAGCATCTTACGATCTGCAAAGCTTGGATTGGAAAATCGATCAGTGACACCAGCTCACTCTTCGAACCACAAACGAAGTGACAGACGGAGCGGCTGAGCGGCTCGAAAACTTTGGTGACTAACCTGCTATTGCAATTTTTCAGTGTACCACATGGCAACACCACTACTATGGATTGTACCACATGGCAACACTACTACTAGATTGAACTAGCATTTTCACCAAATGTACTAAAATGTTTTGGTTCTATCTCTTTCACTCTACTCAAAACTGAAATGCATAAAAAAATGACAAAATGATACGCACTCTTTGCACACTGTCAAAGAATCATTGTACACAAAATCAACTTTGTTCAAATCAAAACAAAAAACTAACCCATCTGGTGGATGATGGCGCAAGCTTCCAGGAAAATTCTAATACAGTGAACCACATTATTTTAATGGATTTCTGCGCCAGTTAGTCGTCTGTAACTTCGTTTGTGCTTCGAACGGTTCGCCTCCGATTCGTGAAACTTAAATTTCGGCGTTGACGATTTACAATTGCGGCTCTACGGTCACTACTTAACCTCCACCTTGTAGTAAAATGTAAACAAACAACTTTGATTACCTACCCCGCTTGCTGCTTTTGTTCGTTTAGCGATTGGTTCGATCGCGACAAGATACCAGATGATAGAAAGATGCGAAAGAGGTTAAAGTAGATGCCACAGATGGAAACAGATAGTGCATGGGGAATAAATATACAAAATGTATGTGAGATTTGCAATAAAATGAAGGTAATCTAGATGTGTCGCCCCCTCGGTAATTTGTATGATCATTCATGTCGGTTTGTCGGTGGTATGACAGTTATGGGTTTGCAACAAAATGTTATCTGTTCAATTAACTGCAACAAATCTCAGTAACGAAGATCAACACACTAATTATTGTAATCGATAAAAATTGAAATAATTTGATCAATGCTGCTCATTTATCAACTTGCCCGAGGGTCTTACCTCTCGTCAAGCATTGCTATCTCATAAAAATGATTCATACTTTTTCATAACACATTCTTAATTGTAAGCTCAAAGACAAAAACCAACAGGCTCAATGATGAAAGCACAGACAAACAGACGTAACTCTTCATTGTGTATTTTCGTTCACGCATTTAACGGTTAATTTGAATATTATCAGTTCCGCGAACTACTCGTCGCAGCGCTGGCATCGAATCATTTTGACGTTTCTATATATTATATAGAACTTTTATGCAATATTGTTTGCGAGTTAGCGAGCAAGCTTGTTTTCCGCGAGAAACCCGAGAGATGTCGTTACTGAGGTCCTATAGTAAATTACAGGCAACCAATTCGCGATATATTCCACATAAAGTTGATCGATGTTACAAAACCATTCGTGGACCTTACTGACTACCATAATCATTACCATTAAATTTCTCAAACCATAAGTAAAAACGTTCTTATATAGTTCTCTTTCTGAAAATGTATGGAGAAAACAAGAATTTGGAATGGTAACGGTTCTTAACAACCCATTATTTGTAAGGTCCAGTTCCAAAAAACCATAATACATAAGGTTGAAACTTTATCATTAAACGTTCATGTAAAGTTCCATAACCATTTCAGTTAAAGTTTAGCAGGGATTATAAACAATTTTTAACCATTTTAGGTAAGGTCAATTTATGGTTCGCGTTTATGCGGGTACCTCTATGGCAGTACTCAGCTACTGATCATTCTTGTATGAAACTTGTTCCAAACGTAAACAAACGCTGTAGGTTTCTTAAGACTTGTTTACGTTTGGAACCAGTTATGCGAGGTAGGCGACGATTGTTCGTATTTGACAGCCACCTCCCCCCTTGGGAAAAACAGGCAATGAGTTCCTGCACTGTAAGTGATTTATGAGTAAACTAAACTCAACTTTGGGGCATTCTAATTCGCCGCGTACTTTACGTAATTTTTGAAAGCGGCTGCCAGAGATTGTTCCTACCGCACTCAAGCAACCTTGACGGCAAGTCGCAGTGCAGAAGATTTGGCGAGCGTTGAATTTAGGGCGATTGCAATAATATTTATTTTAGTATAATAATCATTCGTTCTACTAGGGACCTGTGCTACCACTAGCGAAAAACATTAATTACCCAACTATACATGTGAAACTCATGAAGGAGAAAGGCATTTGTCGCTAGGACGATCATGTTTTGTGACAAAACTAATTGTTGATTTCAATAGCCTGACACTGCATTCCAGATAGCAACTGTATTGCTTAGTTTTAATAAATGTTCACCATTTGTCCGGATTTTCTAGCAAAGTCTTCATATTCACTAGGTACGTATTCCTTGTACAAAAAATGATTATCGATTATCTGTTCTTGTCTGAAAACTTGTGACCTTATGGTGATGAAATGTGATGATTCTAGTCTACTTCATGAACCATATAGGTAGATAGGCAGTGGTGTGAAGCAACAGGAGATTTTCAGTAATAACAAAATACGCCAAGGGCTGTGACCTGCTGACTGAGCCCAGACAGAGAACACGTACCTTTTCGTAGGCACAGTAAAGCGAAGTTCGCCCTGTCTGCTGTAGCTATAATAGTGATGACGTCAGCAGGAGTGCGAAAAATTGCAAAAACACTTGTGTTTGATTTTTCATTATCTCTAATGGTTGATAATTAGTTAGTAAAACTTGAGAACTGGCTGCTGATACTAGTTGCTAGTCCGGTGATTAGCTAACGCATTTTCTTCCAGTATTTATAGAGCTCAAAATGATAAAGGCTGTTGGTTTTCATGTTCTTTTCGGATGCAAGCAGCCATAAGCGCTCTCTCATCTTTGACCTTAGCCGAGATTTAATGTAAGCACGAGTCATGTTGGTATCCCATTCTCTACTTTGGAATTGAAAAAAACCTAGTTAATAGTAAACAGACTAATAAAAATAAACCGCAATGATATGCTTACGTTTCTGCTAGAAAAAGAGGTTAATATATTAAATGCAGGGATTGTTTATGGGGATTGTTAATTTAAGGAAATTAAATGTACCACTTTATCAAGCAGTTTTATCGTTCCTTTCTAAAAGCGATTTCACAAAACTGGACCAACAAATTACTATTTTTTTATGAAATGCACCAATTATGGCTACTTTTCTCATTTAATTTTCTAGAACATGAGCATTAGACTGGCCCACAAAAATAAAAATTCTATTTTCCACGGGCCAACCCTTAAATTTATTCCTTTAGGTGAGAAAACCATTCTCTATAAGTTTCAGCTCATTTGGTTGTAAGATGAGCTGGCGCTTTTAGTTTGAATTTTGATAAAATTCATGGAAAAATGATACGCTCTTTTGATCATAACAAGGTTTCCTTATTCTTGATTTGATTCAGATTTTCAAAATTTGTGGTTCAAACAATGAGTAACAAGTTTTCTGAACACTATCATGAATCCAGCTAGTTTTTTGAGATATTCGTATTTGAATGTATATGAGCATTTTGTATATGAACATTTCAACCAAATCCCCTGTAAAAAATATTGAACCAAAAGCGCAAGTCCGTGTTATGTCAAAAACAGCTGAAACATGTTTCTTGCAATATACGAACAAAAACCCCATAGAATTTCAAGAATGAAAATCTCCATAATACTAACTTGAATCGTGATGCTGTCTTCAGCAAAGTCTTTTCCTTTATTTTTTAACGTCGGTCTCTGTTCCGCAATCTAGTGCCAATCACCGACGGACATCGATTGCCATCCATTGACGGCAATCGAATGTGCAGGAAGGCAGTTTCCACACCTGCGTAGGATATGGCACCCATTCAACACACATGGGCCGGGACCAACGGCTTTACTTCCCCTTCTCTTCCGAAGGAAGACGTGACCAGAGATTTTTATGCCTCAGAAAAATCCCACCGACCTCGGCTGGGATTGAACCCAGACCCATCGAGGTGTTAGAAAGCAGTCACGCTTATCACTACACCACCGGCGCCGGCTTCAGCAAAGTCGTTCCTTATAGTTTAAGGTATATGTGCTGATATTCTGAGCTTAATCGAGTTTGAACCAGTTTTAAGCACGAAAGAGTGAAGGAATGTTATTTGTCCATATATTTCAACCAAAATCCCCGTGTGAACTTTAAACCAAATGCGCCAGCTAGTGTTACATCCGAATGAGCTGACATTTTCAGAGAGTGGTATAAGGTGATCCAAGAGACGTTTCTCAGTGGAACTGACAAATAGAAATCAAGAGTGTGTGAGTGATCTGGTGTTACTGGTGCTGAATGTAAACATACACAAAGCAGAAATTCATAATATGTTATGGGCGTGAACTGACAGTTCTACTGTGATCTGTCAAAAGTTCTTGGTAACCAAAAAAGTCAGCTGAGATCGCAACTATCTCGTGGACAGCCTTATTCTTCTAATTGAACTTGATTTCTAATTACAGTGCGGTTAAAAAATACAATAAAAAAGATAAATACAGTGAACTATCTACAACCAGGGCTGGCAAATGTCATTTTCAATGAAAAATCTCACGCGATATTTACATAAATACTTCTGTCACTATCATTGGATGAGAAAACGATGATAGAGATTTTCTTTAAAATCTCATCGAATTTTTTGTCATGACAGAACGTGACAGTGTTGTAATCATCGTAATTACTAGCTCATTTAATGGTATTAAAGTTACTTGTACCGAGGAAATCTTAATAATATATTCACTCTACCGATTACATACGGCTGTTTTCTCAAATTCATCCAAATCAGTTAGGAATGTTGATGTCAAAACAGCATAAGAATTATTCTCATGAGTGCTTGATCATTGAAAAATGACAAGAAAGCTAATGATAGGTAGTTTCGTCTTGTGATGGTGAGAGGACCTGTTTTCTCATCGTCACATGACGGCCGTGATATTTACCAGCTCTGTCTACAACTCTATATTCAAGGTACCATCGAGTTATAGAATTACCGAGTTATGTTATGGAACAGCAATCCCATAGTAAATCACCATCGCAGTAGTCATGAAATTATTTTTTCTATGTTTCTATAACTCGATATCGAGTTTGTGGACATCGAGTTGCGGAGAGTTGACTGTATAAATATTATAGAGATTTTCACGTCCTGTTGTATTTGTGCGACATGTTAGAACGTATTAGTGAAAATCCGAGGAAAATACATAACAAATCGCTGTCAAACTCATTTCGGCAGATCTAATTTCATACATTTTTTAGGTTAGCCAGAGGAAAATAATAAACAGAGTGGCCAGATTATTTTTTTCATTATCGGTAGCTTCTCAAAACTTTTATCGGTAGTTATCGGCAGGTCGGCAAGGCTTTCCCGATACTTGAAACTTTTGTGAGCGGGGGGGCCTACATGTGTACTTTACGTAGATGTCCTGACTTCGTAGATGGTGAGAAATTCAATATATAGCTTATAGATACAGAAAGTTCACAAGCCCACTTAAATATTTTCGCCGAGATTCCAACAGCCGAGCAGTTCTGCAATTTATTTTGCAAAGATTCAGTAAAACAATCGCCGAGACTCAGCTAACACATAACATTTTGCTGATATATCAGCTAACAAACAGATATTTTGCAGAGATATCTGCAAAAGTAAATGCCGAGGTAATCGGCTGTTGGAGATTTTACCGAGCTAGATTAAGTGTGTGTACCTAGCGCCGCGTAGTGAGAGCATTCCTAATTTACTTGTGCACCATCACCATTTGGAATGCCTTGATCATCTTACTTATACTGCCGTTAACAGAAGCTTTTTAGAAGTGCTGAACCTAGTTTTATGAATTGACTACTTTTACGGATGTTCCGGATTTTCTGGAGGATCACAAATTCATACTAATGACAGATCTACAAATATTTTCGAAAAAATCCTGATATATTTCAGAAGCATAATATTCAAAGTGTTTTTTGTTACTTCATACGTTTAGTTTACGATTTTCACAGTTGGTTGGAAATGATATACAAATATAAACATGAAGCTTCAGTGTGATAATCTATTAGCTAGTTCTGAAGAGGGTTGGTTGATAGTTCCGCTAGAGTACGGCAGTGTGAAAATTTAATATAAGTTGGAATTAAGCGAAGGGCTATTAATGTGACATTAATGTATGACTTTTTGACGGTTCGATTGGAACAACTTTTGACAGACGTCCATACTTTTAGAAGACGACTTAAGGTTTGAACTGAATAAGGCCGCGGCCAGAGTAGACGTGACACGCGATCAATTCAAAAGAATCTTATTATTTATTATTATTTCTTGCGTGAGTCGCTGCGCGTCGCGTCGCGTCGCGAATAAACGAATTCTCGCGTCTCTTTTCAAATTGACCAATCTACATTGGTCTATTCTCTTCATCGACTCTCTCTTCCGTTAACAACAAAACCATGTTCAGCTGTTCTTATCGTATTGGGGCGTAATAATACCACAGACAAACATACGTAACTCTTCATTGTGTATCTTCGTTCACGCATTTAACGATTGATTTGAATATTATCAGTTTCCACCAACTACACAGAAACAAAATCCATTGGCAAAAATACTATATTGATGGTTTAAATTAAATACTCCCACCAATAAAGGGTGATACCACAAACGAAGTGACAGACGACTAACTGGCAAAGAAATCCATTTAAATAATGTGGTTCACTGTAATAGAATTTTCTTGGAAGCTTGTGCCATCATCCACCAGATGGGTTAGTTTTTTTGTTTTGATTTGAACAAAGTTGATTTTGTGTACAATGATTCTTTGACAGTGTGCAAAGAGTGCGTATCATTTTGTCATTTTTTTGTGCATTTCAGTTTTGAGTAGAGTGAAAGAGATAGAACCAAAACATTCTAGTACATTTGGTGAAAATGCTAGTTCAATCTAGTAGTAGTGTTGCCATGTGGTACAATCCAGTAGTAGTGGTGTTGCCATGTGGTACACTGAAAAATTGCAATAGCAGGTTAGTCACCAAAGTTTTCGAGCCGCTCCGTCTGTCACTTCGTTTGTGGTGATACGGTCAAAATTTGGTCAATATCAACTTGACGTATTTCTTTCAATTTTGCATTTAAAAAACCTGAACACCCCTCATTTTGAAGGTGTGTGTGTGTAGAATGTTGCTCCTATTTTGATTTTGGAATTCACTCTTCAGTTGTCAAAATGCCGTCCAAGCAAGAAGAGCAGCGTATCAAAATTTTGCTCGCGCATCGCGAAAATCCGAGCTACTCGCACGCAAAGTTGGCAAAATCGCTAAAAGTTGCCAAATCAACCGTTACAAATGTAATTAAAGTGTTTGGGTTTCCTTATTAGAGATTTGTATAGATTTTTCTCCTTTAGCTTGCTTAAATCTTTGGTTTTTATTAGTTAGGTAGGTTCCGATTCAACACATTGTAGTTTCATTTTTATACCTATGATCTTGACTTTTTTACCTAGGGGATGAGTACTTAAGGGGGTTAGATTTTGATAAGTTCTTTAGTGGGAATGACACTGATGAAGACTGCACATTGTAGTCGAAATACGTATCTGTCATGGATACCAAAATTAATTAAGTGGAATTAAATGGAAGATAAACCCTTTTGCTGTTTTATTTTTGTTTGGGGAACGTTTATCGACAGCCAGGAAGTCTGGATCGGGGGGAAATCGAAAACCGGAAGCCGCTGAGACGACAAAGAGAGTTGCCGGTAGTTTCAAGCGAAACCCTAACCTCTCTCTCCGAGATGCCGCAAATAAGCTGGGTGTATCGTCTACAACCGTGCATCGAGCCAAAAAACGAGCCGGACTATCGACTTACAAGAAGGTAGTGACTCCAAATCACGATGATAAACAAAATACGACGGTCAAAGCGCGATCCCGGAGGCTGTACACGACGATGCTGACGAAGTTTGACTGCGTGGTAATGGACGACGAAACCTACGTCAAAGCCGACTACAAGCAGCTTCCGGGACAGGAGTTTTATACGGCAAAAGGAAGGGGAAAGGTAGCAGATGTTTTCAAGCACATGAAACTGTCAAAGTTCGCAAAGAAATATCTGGTTTGGCAAGCCATCTGTACCTGTGGATTGAAAAGCAGCATTTTCATAGCTTCCGGGACTGTCAACCAAGAAATTTACGTGAAAGAGTGTTTGAATAAACGTCTGCTACCTTTCCTGAAGAAACACGGTTGTTCCGTACTGTTTTGGCCGGATTTGGCATCTTGCCATTACGGTAAAAAGGCCATGGAGTGGTACGCCGCCAACAACGTGCAGGTGGTTCCCAAGGACAAGAACCCTCCCAACACGCCAGAGCTCCGCCCAATTGAGAAATACTGGGCTATTGTCAAGCGGAACCTAAAGAAGACCAAAAAAACTGCTAAGGGCGAGCAGCAGTTCAAGGCAAACTGGCTTTCTGCGGCGAAGAAGGTGGACAAGGTGGCTGTACAAAATCTGATGGCAGGGGTCAAGGGTAAGGCCCGGCAATTCGAATTTGGAAAAGCGGAAGCCTAACTGAATATTTTTCCTGAATTTTATACTAATTGAACTTGAAAAAGAAATTTAATTTGATTTTTTAAATAAACGATTTCACCGATTTACACGCGTTTTCCCTTGACCAAATTTTGACCGTATCACCCTTTAGATTTGTGCAGAAACGAAATTCATTTAACTTTACTATTTTTTCTATCAAAACTACTATGCCTTTTGAGTAATCATTATATTTTTAGTCAACTATACTGAAATCATGGTAGATTTAACGGCATTAAGCATAGTTATACCGAAAATAGGTGTTTTTTGCAAAATAGTATTCCTAACTATGGTCTTTGCTTCAGTGTACTCACCGCAGCGCTGGCACCGGATCACTTTGACGTTTCTTTACATTCTATAGAACTTTTATGCAATATTGTTTGTGAGTTAGCGAGCAAGCTTGTTATCCGCGAGAAGCCCGAGAGATGTCGTTACTGAGGTCCCATATTTTGAGATACTATGTTTTCATGACATTTTTTTTCAAAGAGTTACGTCTGTTTGTCTGTGATAATACTTTCTTTTAACAGACTTTGTAGAAAAAATAGCCCTAAATATGAATGCAGCCAAGTTATTAACGAGAGAGTCAATGAAGAGAATCGGTCAATGTAGACTGTTCTATTTGAAAACTAATGCGAGAATTCGCTATTAATATCTTCTCCAAAAATACTAAAAACATCAATTTAAGCTACAATTCATTAGGTCCTAAGTAACATAGACAGATTCTCTTCGTCAACTTTCTCTTTGCATTCTCACGGCCATGTTAAGGCATTCCCAGCTATTTTGAGTACACAGATCAATGAAAGAAGCTATTATCTAGCTCCTAATACGACAAATATGACACGAAACGGTTCTGTACCCTGTAATTGCAAAAAGCAGTAGCTCAGTTTGTGAGTAAACCTATTTTACTTATTTTTGAGTAAGTGAAGAAAACTGATGGTGGGCGTGTCTTTTTTACTCACTGATTCAAGCTATACAGCGGTGAAAGAGCTCGAATAATGTATTTCAGAAAATCGTAACTGATAGATCTTGGGCGGAACGCTTCGGAATGCTTAGAAAAATAGGGCGCACGCTTGATCCAGGCTCTAAGCATTCCGAAGCATGGCATACATTATTGACTGCTTTCAAGAACGTAATTTAATTTGGATTGCTTGTTTAACCTGGGCTTGATGATAGCCTGTACAATGCGTAAAGATCAAATCTAAACATTGAACTTATTGGCACCGGTGGTGTAGTGGTAAGCATGATTACCTCTTACCCCAGCAGGCCTGGGTTCAATCCCAGTCGGGAAGTAAAGCCGTTCGTCCCTGGTTCATGAGTTGATGGGTCGATAGGTAGGGTCCAGGTGTGAGAGCTGCCTCCCTGGCGTCGGTAGCATTGGTACTCGGCACGGGAAACAAGATCGATGGAAAACAAATCAAGGAATAAAAATACATTAAACGTCACGTGAAACGTGGAACTTAATGAAGGCCTATGTGATTTTTCGTAGCTTTTAGTTTTCGTATTTGAAAGATCGTCGGTTGCAGTGACTTGCTTACTGAGCAGAAACCCGGTCCCAGGTCCTTTCATAATAAAGAGATTTATGGTCAAATCGCTTGTTTATCGTGTATTTTGCGAAACTTGCCGTTGTCTTCGGTGCCGGGTTTGAATGGTTACAACACCTCGAGTAAAGGTATGTGGGGCTCGGTGGTCTTAGAGCGATCGTTTTTGCTTACTGAGCAGACCATCATGTGTCTAATCTCAGGCCCATCCACATTCACGATTCGTCAACGTTTTTGCTAACTGGGCAGAAGACCGTGGGTTCAATGCTAAGCTTCTTCGCGTTATATGATTGTTAGGACATCAATCCAGTTTATCCTTATCGTTTACAAAAACGAACTCTGCTGCAAACGCTGTTTGTAACAAAATTCAATTAATTGTATGTCTAGTAGGAGTTGGGCTACATACTCGGAGCTTATCCGAGGTTAGAGGGGTACATTGTCGAAGGATAGGATCAGGGGAGGAGCTTGGGGTGGGGTTTCGTTGTCTCATCAAAGCGTTGTCGCCAGTATGAACAGTAGGTTCTAGATTAGTCTGGAGTTCGACCGGCTATGGTGACCAGTGGGCGACGATGAGACTCATCGAGACGGGGGGACAAGCCAAACAAGAACTAATAAAGAGAGACAAAAGATAAAGAAATTAAATTCATATACTAGACATTTGCCGAAACACATAAATCGATTGCATATAGCAGAAATCGCGAGTTCCCAACACGTCTCTGAACATAGGATTGTCTTCCTTGGGCCATTAAGTTAAGAATTCTCTCACTGGGGTAATGGCAAAGATCGTATATGAGGCACCTATGAGTTTCCTATCACATTCATCTTTCATAAATTTGAAATTTCACGAAGAATTACAATTAACTAGCAAGAAAGCTGCGCCGGTGCTGTAGTGGTAAGCGTGATTGCCTCTCACCCCAAAGAGCCTGGGTTCAATCCCAGTCGACCCCGCCGGGATTTTCTGAGGCATACAATCTCTGATCACGGGAAGTAAAGCCGTTGGTCCCCGGTCCATGAGTTGATGGGTCGATGGTTAGGAAGGGTCCAGGTGTAGAAGTTTGCTGCTACCCTGGGGTCGGTGGCATTGGTACTCAGTACGGAAAACAAATCAAGGAAAAAAACTAGCAAGAAAAAAAAATGCCAGTTTAAGAACCCAAATTATCATTTTCAGATTGACCTATTTTTACCACCAAACAAAAATGTGTAATATATAATGTAATTGTAACTTTTTTTTTCTCTTTTCAGATCGGATTAACCGGCGTAATATTACTGTCACTGAAAAGTGCATATTCTAGAAACCATCCAGATAGCCGTCATTTGTTGTAAAAAGTTGTTACCGGGTTTTAAATTGTATTACCGTTGCATAAAACGTAGAAGCCTGTGCTTGGTTGCATAATTGTAACTACTTTTATATGTATATTGCATCGTAAACGTACTAAGTGTTTGGATTATAAACGAACGAAAGCATTTCTTCAAGATGCCATTATTTGGAAAGAAAGATTCCGGAAAGAAAGTGCGCAAGGATGCTAAAGAAGTCGAAAAGCAACCAAGCATCGAGGACAAGTACGTTATAAAGGAATTACTTGGCACCGGAGCATTTTCGGAAGTACGTCTTTGTGAGCATCGCGAAACGGGACAGGCGTTTGCCGTTAAAATTATCGATAAGAAAGCTTTGAAAGGAAAAGAAGACTCATTGGAGAATGAAATAAGAGTGCTTAAGCGATTTAGCGCAAAAAGACAAGAAAATGATCCTGATAGGACTTGGTTCACTCATCCAAACATAGTGCAACTGTTTGAAACGTACGAAGATAAATCAAAAGTCTACTTAATCATGGAACTGGTCACTGGCGGTGAACTGTTTGATCGTATTGTGGAAAAAGGATCGTATACAGAAAAAGATGCATCTTATTTGATTCGTCAAGTGCTTGAAGCTGTAGACTATATGCATGAACAAGGCGTAGTACATAGAGATTTGAAACCTGAGAATCTATTATACTATAATCCCGCAGAGGACAGCAAAATCATGATCAGTGACTTTGGGTTGTCGAAGATGGAAGACTCAGGTTTTATGGCTACGGCATGCGGGACTCCTGGCTACGTAGCACCTGAGGTGTTAGCGCAAAAACCGTACGGCAAGGCAGTGGATGTTTGGAGCATAGGAGTAATATCGTACATTCTATTATGTGGTTATCCACCATTTTATGACGAGAATGATGCCAATTTATTTGCACAAATTTTAAAAGGAGAGTTTGAGTTCGACTCCCCCTATTGGGATGAGATAAGCGAGTCAGCAAAAGATTTTATCAGGAACCTGATGTGTGTGAATGTAGAGAAAAGGTTTACGTGTAAACTGGCGCTTGCGCATCCTTGGATTTCCGGAAATGCAGCTAGCAGTAAGAACATCCATGGAACCGTTTCCGAGCAGCTTAAGAAAAATTTTGCTAAGTCACGTTGGAAGCAGGCCTATCACGCAGCTACTGTTATACGTCAAATGCAACGAATGGCTCTGAGTAGTAGTGGAGGAGCATACGGACGCAGTTCGTCCCAGCTGAACGCTGCTGCTGTTAATGCTACGGCAGAGCAAGATGCTGCATCTGGCAGCAAGTAAAATATTGGAATCGCTTGAAATTGTTGCAAACGTTACATCGCAGAAACACAGCTATATCATGACATAAAGGTGTTCATACACTGTTTGTGGCTAAGTAACCCTCAGAATTCGATGTTGTCCTTAAAGATCTGTTTATTTGTAATTTCTGCAAATTTTGCTCTCTTTTTATAACTATCTGTTACATTCTAGCGTACATAAGTGTATGTTCTTAATCGATGAAAACCATTTATTTTTGTTATGTTTAATACAATACTTTTTAATGTTGAAAATAGATTTGGGATTTTATCTAAAATTGGTTGTTTTATTTTCTTTTTTTCAGTTTTTACGCTAATTCATGTTGTAAGAAAGTTTGAAATTATTTGTCGCATGCTTCAAACGCTGATTAATTTGTCAGCACATACTAGTCGGATAGGTTATTATATAAATCAAGTCTCACGCATTGTTTAATTTTATTCGTTAAAAAATATATTTCTTCATTCTTAGTAATATAAAAACGTTTGTGTGAGAAAACTTTTTCTGTATAAATAATACTGAATTTTATTAATACGTTTTCTCTCCATAAAAACTTGTTCTCGTACAGCTAAAAATATGGAGAAAGATTTCGCAATTCAAAATAAAATCACTTAGTTCCTCAGATGCATAAGAAAATCTATATCCATATTATTTTTTAAAAGCGTGGCGAAGTACATTTAACCTAAACCGTGTTTTGAAAAGCTTGATGAACCACGCGGTTTTCGTGAAGCAGTGCGGTTCACCATGGTTTTTTGAGGCATGGTTCGTGAAAATAGTTCTAATTTCGTCGCCATGTTAGCTCTTGAACATTTATCAGTTGAATAAACATCGGATTCATGAATAAAATATTAAAATTATATAAATATAAAATATCCTCGGTTCGCTATCCAAGCCTGTCTTCACCAATGTTTTTTTATAGTCATCATATATACTGCCCATAATCGCATAGCAGTCCTATCTTGGCTTGATTTCATATTATAATAATGAACAGTTGAACGATTATGGGTAGTATTCGTATTAACGTAACTGGCACTTTTGACTTCTATCGGCTATTTCTCGCAAACAAAAACTCAATCACACAAATCAAAATTACCAAAAGATTCATCTGATAAGAGTAAACGCGAATAACGCGATGATCGATTCTCTTCGTCGATTTTCTCTTTTGTTCACTAATAGAATTCCACATATTTTTATTAACGAATTTCCATGTAAAATTCCACATGATTTTCATGTGACCACACATAAACAGAACCCACCAAGAAGCACACATGAAATTTATGAGTCAAATGAATACCATGTGTACCATGGAATACCACATGGCTTTTATGTGTACACATATTGAGTATGTGTCCGACACATAGATATCATTTGTTGATCACGTTGCAAAAATTCATGTGTGGGACACATAAAAACAATCTTTGAAATTTTATCTGTGATTAATATTGCTCGCTTGGATTAACGTTTCTCCACAGACAAAGAGACGTAACACATTGAATATTTCTCACTGTAAAACATCGTCGATGAAACATTAGCGCCATCTGTTGAGTACACTGTGGTGGGTAGTGCGCTGAACAGATGGCGGTAGTGTGTAGACGTCATTCGCAAAGAAAATGACTATGCGCGCCACAGGTGGCGGTACTACCAACTATGATACTTTTAAATTGACAAGCATTTAAGCTCGATTAACAATTTGCGAGTGTTATGTCTGTTTGTCTGTGGTTTCTCGGTGCGTTTGCTGGTGCTTTTGATAGCCAACACGCAGAGAAATGATTTCAAAATTCAAATAGATATATTTTTGCCTCAGGGCCTAATATATTTTTGGTATTGATTCAAATATATTATTCGGTTAATTCACAGAAAAATATTTTTGGATCAACAAACCGGTTGTAGAGTCAATAGAGGTTGCTGACGTTTGTAGTACGCACACTACGTCACGTATACGTATACGCAAAATGTTTGCATCAGGAAAAAAAACTTCATAGCTTAAAATTGTCCTGATGAAAACAAATATGTGACACAATCACACTTTAGCAATCTCTATAATCTGTTTTTTGATCCTAAAAACCATTTTGTTGATTCAAAAATATGTTTTGTTGAAATTGTGATAAAATATGTTTGAATCAATAACAAAATACATTAGGCCCTTAAACAAAAATCAATTTTTCTGCGTGAATACAACCTGTTACAGCACTGCATTGAACACATTCTAGAAAATTGTTCCGCTTACACGGACAGAAAATTGTTTGCATTGAACCAAAAAAATCTTTAATTGTATTTAAGCAAATAATTCCAGTTGAGATTATATTGCTTTTTGTTGTTTCAATAATACTCATTCATATAAATTCAAAATAGGATTCTTTTTGTTTTAATCCGCCACTTTTCAAATGCAACTATTGTAAAAATAACAATATTCTATTATTAAGCCAACAATAGTTAATTTTAATTTAGCATTTAATTGCTGTGTCCATTCTCTGGGCCATGAAAGCAAAAATAACTACCAACCATTCCCTCGTTTTCACCCGGACAAAAATGTAAACAATAACAATACTTACGCGTTCCACGTAAGTATTGTTTTTAATTGTAAATTTCGGGAAATAAGTGCAAGATTTTCGAAAATCTTGAGACTTGAGTTAAGTAAGTATGCTGCAATTCGAGCTGCAGTTGATAAATATAATCAATTTTTCTGTTTTTTTTTCCTTTATTTTTTCCGTCGATCTTGTTTTCCGTACATGAACCGGGGGCTTTTATTTTATGCCTCAGAAATTCAATTACAATTTCTGCAATTTAGTTTCAAAATGAAAACGAAACATAAAAAAAAATTGCCATATTATTTTTACTTCAATAAACACATTTTTATTTCTACTGCGTGAATTGTCAGATTGAATCAACAAGAAATCTCTTTTAAAAACAAACATATTTTTGTTGTTGACCCAGCAGCCAAATTTGACAGCTTACGTCAAAACCATGAAAGCTCTTGTAAATCCTAAAAGATTTGCTTTTTGATTTAACAATCCATGGGTTTTTAGAAACAAAAATACTGGATTGTTGAAACAATAATGATTTCTTTTTGCAGCCGAAAAAAAAAATGAAATTCTTATTGATTTTACGTCAAATATTATTACTTTTAAAATATTTTTTTCTGCGTGTTGCTGTAGCAATGCAAAGATAAAACCGATGAAGATAATCGATCATCGCGTATACCAACCGGTAAACATTATAGATACTATAGATTCCATAGATAAGCGGAGGCAAAGTATAATCAACAATCAATACGAAACTAACGATTTTAAATTGGCTCACCACTTTAGTAGCCTATTGGTCCCAAGCAAACGATTAACGTACCCTATTCTAGTTGAAATTCTATTACTACACGGCAAGAAAAAAAATACTCAAAATTAAGTTTAAAAAAACTCAACGTTGGGTTCTATCATTTGAGGTCCGCCGTTGAGTGAATCAGAAAAGCGGCGTTGGTTAAAATTTACTCAACTGTTGAGTAATAATAAATGAACTCAAATATAAGTTTATTTTCATTGAGGTTGCTCTTATGCGCCTTTAACATTTTCAGTTTTACAAGCGTTGATAGACGACTGGTCAACACACGGGCCCCGTAATCTCAACGTCCATGGTTCGGTTCCAGTCTGCTCCGTTTTATTATTTTTTTGTCAAATTGGTCAACGATCAGGATTACTCAAAATTGAGTTTTCTTCTTTAACTTAATTTTACCTAGCCCCACGGAAGCCACGTGATGAGTGAAAGGAACTCAATTTTGGGTACTTTTTTCTTACCGTGTACACTATGTTTGTTTTGATTCGCTATGAAAGTTTGACAGATAACATCAGGGGTGTGTGGATTCATGCAGAACATGCAGGGGTGAGTGAAATAGCTTGGGACTGCTTGGGACCGTTGTTCTGGTACTGAGTGAGCCAAAAATAATAATGATTTTCTTCGGGACCCAGTGGTCTTAGAGTTACCTCTATGGTATAATGTAGCCAAACGAACTGACAGTTAAGGCCCAAGCGCAATGACAGCGGAAGCGGAACGGCAGCGGCAGCGGCAGCGGAAAAGCCCGATCTGAGTAAGCGTATTTATCGGATTGAAAGCTAGTTAGTATCAAATTGACTTCAGTTAGAAATCTTGATGTCATTTGTGACAACTGTCAAACTTTCCGTTTCCGTTCCGCTTCCGCCCACATTGCGTTTGGGCCTTTAGTGTAGCCAAACGAGCATGACGTCATCATGGTATTTTTTGAGGGAGTAGTATTGTAATATTATGAGCACAAAACGCTTTCCACACTTCACATTCCGATTTATTTCACGGACAACGGAAGAAGGAAAGATAAAGCAAACCATTCCTCGATTCATTGTTGCTTTGCACTTCATTATTGTTGGAAGTAAGTAGTGAAAGCCCCTGGATACGCGCATCTATCATGTGAGTCTCTATAGTGGCTCCCAAGATCGAGAATGACAGCTGCCGTATGAGTGTGTATGAGTGCGTGAGAGTGAGAGACTGACGAAGCATAAATTGCTGATGTGTGTACAATTTATGTTTGTTGACTAGTCCATTGTAACTTGTAAATAAAGACGCACGTAGAACGTAGTCCGCGGTTATTTTTCTTTGGTATCACGCGACTCCCGAGACGGGTGTTTATTGTCCGGTAGTTCGGTTTGGATAAACCTGTGTACATCTGCTTGCGCTGGGATTCCCACAGGTTATGGGCCCAGATCCGTGAAGAAAGTAATAGTGGAAAAGTGTTCTCCGGTGGAGGAGACATTTTGTGTGGATTGCGTTGCGTTTGTGCTTTGTTTACGAGAAGATTTCCCCCGGCGGGTGTATGTGCTGTTGTCCGCAGCTGAACGTTTTTGTCGGGTGAAATTGTGCTGTTGGCAGTGGAGTATCGGCCAAGTGTGTAGCACGGAACGGAATACGAAACGGAAAAAGTTTTGTTCGAGGAGGAGAAATTTTGTTTTTCTCTCCTGTACGGGCTGAAGTGCAAACTTATTGTTTGCTGGTCCGGTCTCTAAAAGTGCGATTGTTTGAACTGAAGAAGTACGCTTCGTTCGGAAAAAGCTTATAGTGGAATAAGAAAGAACACTTTGTGGAAAGTATCGAATTGTGAACATTGTTCGCTCGATTGTGAAGCTGTTTTCTTTACCCGACCGTGCGCGTAGTGTTTTTGTTTCGTGGAAAATGGCCGAGACGAAGATAACATTAGACCGGTTGAACGATTTTAATTGGGCAACTTGGAAGTTCCGGATGGAGTTGTTGCTGCTCAAAGAAAAT